GATTGTAATACATACTATTAAATTCGATCAGAGCTTAAGTTATAGAGCCTTATATATATATTTGCTTTACCATCAACCAGTTATATGCTAATTTTATTGGCTAGTTTTACCAAAAAACAAACAAAATACGTCTTTGTTGTATTTAGATAAGTTTGACTATCAATTATATATAAATAAATAAATAATTTAACATCTACAGGTATAATTTCAATGAAAAATCAATACATAAATATATTAGTTAAATATTATATATATATAATAAAATGACAATTAAATGACTTTTTAATTGAATCGCTTTTCATTTTATTTAATTGCTTTAAATTTTTTCCACATTTAAATTCAATAAATTTGCAGCACCTTTGACCCAATGTATATATTTTTTTGCTACACAGACAATAAAATGAACAAATAAAAATAAATAAATACAAAAAAAAATGAGCCTGGGCCAACCAACTACGCCAGGCCATTTTCGCCATTGACACCCATGCGAACATTGTTAATTAATTAAAAAAGAAAAACTAATAGACGATTGCGTTGACAAGATAAAATGGCAAACGGTTGAAGCCAAGAGAACAACACACACACACACTCACGATATAGCCAAATGTAATAAATTGTGACAAAAAGTCAGCTAAAATATGTTGGCGAAGGCGTCAAGGTGTGACATTGACCCTCAATAAGTAGTCTGTGTGAGCTTTGTGTGTGTGCGTGTGTGTTAGTGTGACTGTGTGTGGCACAAATCTAAAAACGTTATCTCAACAGCAGCAGCAACAACAAGCAAACATTACAATTTAAAAGTGCATAAAAATGTTTATTGGCTGGGCGAAATCAAGTTCGCTTTAAGTTTGCCAAGCTACGACAATAAAATACACTGTGCAGCAAATGTTACGAAAATGCTAACAAAACATTTAATTTTCCCATATTTACATATGTTTAGCTGAGTATCTAAGCAAGTTTTATGTAAAATAAGAAAACATTAGAATATAAAAATGTCATTCCTAAATCTGATACTTGTAGTTCAGTGTTAAGAGACGGTCAGGGCCAAGCTTTAGCTTTGCTGCTGTTGTTGTTGCAAGTGGCAAGCCCGCAGCTGCAGCAGTAACTACAATAACAACAACAACAATATAGAACACAGCTGTGTCTAAGACAAGCTCGCAAAGCTAAATTATTATCAAGTTCTTTCTCATATTTTTCGCTTGGTACAAATTTGCGCTAAGCAATTATTGGCAATAGCAGAAATATTTTTGATTTGCAATTTTCTCACGGCCCAGAGAGCGAGTAAAAGCCTTTCACAAAAATTGAGCAGCCAATTGGTTTGTCAATGGCACAATTGAATCTTTCAAGCAGATTCACAATTAGCCAGCAGCCAGCAGCAGCGGCAACATACTGACAGCAACAACGACAACATTGGCGCATACAAATGGTGTTAAAGCCTGAGCGCAGAATGTAATTTGTTTTCACACAACATAATCAACATGATAACCCCGGCCAAAACGTCTTTAGATTGAGTCTAATGATGATAAACGCTTTTACTGTGAGGTAACTACAGACTTCTGACACCGACGCAGCAGACACAAACCATTGCAGCAACAGCCGAAGAGAGAGCGACCGACTGGCAACTGGCAACTGGCAACTGGCAACAGCCACAACGGCAATAGCAACAGCAACAGCAACAGCAACTGCTGCAACTGGCTGCATGGCCAATAATAAGTCAACATTCCAAGGCGTGTTAAGAGATGCTCGATTAAATGCCTCAATTGTGGCTCATATTGAACACCAAGGCGAGCGCGACCCAGCAACATCGACACCACACACCACCTGTCTGCAAAAAACGCTTGAAGAAGAAGCAGCAGCAGCAAATAGCACCGCCCCCACCAACGGTCAACTTTGTGCCCATTGCCCGTTGTCCGTTGTCCGTTGCACATTGCCAGTTGCCCGATGCCTGTTGCCCGTTGCCTGTTGCTTGTTGCCTGTTGCAAGTGTTGCATTGTTGTTATTGCTCGCAGTGCTTGCCTGACTTTTAGCACTGAGCAACAACAGCTCGCAATGGGCGAAATCGTTTAGTGTCGTACCTAACTAAGAAAACGTATTTTCAATATCGAAATTATTATTATTAGCTGACAGCAAATCGCAGTTTTCGACTGTTGCTGTTGCTGTAGTTGTTGTTGCGCGGCGTTGCCGGCGCATATTGTAATAAATGGACAGGCCTGTTATTGTATGCACTTTGTATATGATATGCGAGTACTAACCCAAAACTTAGCTCGAGCACACTGCAATAATAGAGTCTTGCCGACTGCTGAAACGCTTTGGAAATGAGGGAAATAATCAATTGTAGATGGAACTGAAGATATTCTGTTATAGAGTAATTCAATTATATTTAGATTCTTAACAAATGGGACTTAAATAGTTATGTAACTTTAAATGAATGTTCTAAGTCTTATATATATAAAAAAGATAATAAAGTAAGAGGGAAAGTTTCTCTCCTCTGGATGTTAAAGTTTTCAAATGAAGACGCAATTGCGTTTGTTCCAAAATATACTTTAAAGATATGTTACGAAATCACGAACTCAAAAAAGTAAAGCTGTAAATATATATAAATCTATGCTGGGCATAATTCTAAAAAATCATATCAAAGAAATAAAATAAACTGCAAATATGGAGAACCTCGAAACTAGCGTTTATTTGTTTGTTAATCTCAGACATATTAACGTATTATTATAATGTTAAATATTTTAGTAATAATTGAAAACCAGTTAAGCGCAATAAGGATTATTCAAGAAGCAATATAGTATTAACTGTTTCCAATTCTATATCCTTTTTTATAGACATTTGTAATATTTTGTAGTATGTTCAGGGCTTCATCGTGAGCCGTCCAAGAAGCAGAGCCAACCTCTGGCTTCATACATTTTTTTGTTTGGCTCGCCATCTGCGACTGCTGCTCGGTTTCTAAAGGTGAGAAACTGGCCATAGTGCTTGCGGGCAGCACTGCACCCCCCTAACACACATATTCACACACATACACACATACAAGAGCGCAATTATATGCCATTTAATAAATACAAGTATTTTCAATAAATATGAGCATTTCTATCGAAAATTTATGCGCGAATAAGCAGGTGTTTACTAGTGACGAGTCAAACGCTGCCCGACAGCAATGGATAACACACAAATGCCGAGCTGGTTGCCCAGAGTAGCAACGATGTGGGGCTGGTGGCGGTAGTGGTACTCATCAGCATTGTGGCAATGGCTATGGGCTGTGGGTTTCTGGTTGTGGACTATGGGCCATGGCTAAATGGCAATCCGTTACAGTTGTCGATCAGCTAACAAGATAATTGTACAAATACAAACACAACAATGAGGCACAACAACCAGAGCTGTGATAAGCAACACGTTACCCAGTATCAAATTACAGATCTTCCAATTAACTGACCAATAAGCGGCAATGCTTTTAATTTGATAATAGTGCAAACTCACGCCCAGCAGACAGCAACGAACTGTTGCCCAGTTAGCCAGCAACTTGTTCCCAACAACAACAATAACAACAAGCACAACAACAACACGCAATGTAGCTGCAACACGGACGCAAACAAAAACAATAGACGCATTTGTAAGACGCCCCAACGGGGGGCTAATAAACTCAAAGCAGAACAATTGTTGGCATTTTTGACAGCAATATTATTTAGAATAGACTTCTATATATTTAGACTAACAATAAATTGAGGCAAACAATAAATTGAGGCAACATCATTTTACCAAGAAATCGTTCCCAACAAAAATAACTATGAAATGCTCAAATATAATTTTGTTAGTGTTTCGGAGCGAAGTTAAATAAAATTCGAAATAGTTAAAAAAGTTTAAGGTAAAATATAAAAAATATATTAGATTTATTATGCAAGTAACTTTTGGTCAAATGTTGAATCTGACCATATGAAAAGGAATATTAAACAATCAGAGAAAGAATTTAAATAATATAAATATTTGAATATTAAAAAATAAATATAAATTCAACCATTTAAACAAAAAAACTAAAAAATATATAAAATAAAATAATAAAGGAGTACAAAAAAAATAAAATAATTTGAGAAAAAAAATCACTTTTTTCCTATTATAAAAAAATAATGTGTATTCCGTTAAGTTTATTATAAATCACAAATTTCAAGTGCTAAAATCATTTCATATCCTGACATAAACTAGGCTCTGTTTATGGGTTCACGGTATTGCCCAGTCCTGCTTGAGACGTTGTTATGGGGAATAAATCGATAGACTCTAAGCAAAGCGGCTATCTTAGCTACGAGTTTGTAAAGCATCTCGGTGAACCACTTACCAAATAATATTTAATAAGAAGTTATTGAAAAGCTGGTATGTGCATTAAGTACTTAAATATGAGCTAGGCACAAGCACTTAGCATCAATCAAACACTAAACAAGAGTTTAGAACGGCAGCAGCTGAGTTGCCAGTTGACATATGAGCAACAGGCAGCAGGAGCAACCGCTGCAGCAACAGCAACAGCAACAGTTGAAAAAGCCGAAAGAAGAAAGAATATTTTGCCGCCACACCAAGAGAAGCGGCTACTACACAGGAACTGGGAATCGGTAACCGGGCCGCCGGCTGACTAACAAGCAGAGCTTTAGGAACAGAAAGAGCAATAGCAGCAGCAAAAGCAGCAGCAGCAGAACCAGAACCTCAAGCATTCAGAATTATGTAACACGGCATTTGCAAGTCAAGACTGTGGGATGTCACTGTTTGGATAGACAGGCGGGACAGCTGAGCAAAGTCGCCGCCGCTGCCGCCGCCGTCGTCGTTGAACTTAATCTGCGAGCATGATTGTGCACTATTTGTAGAGTGGACGAGCAAGTGTGCGCGTTGTCCTGGCAAGGTTGTTATGGACGCACCACTGTTTGTTTGTGCATGTAAACATGCCGGGCGATGCGCCAAACAAAAAAAAAAAATAGAAAAAGAATTTCCACTTCGAACTCCAATTGCAGTTGACACGGCTGACAATGATCTCTAGACGCGACAAATTGCTGCAGCAGCCTTGGGAGCAGCTGCGCTATGCACAGCATCGCGAGAAAGTGATGTCCGCACGGCCAGCAATTGATACCAAGTTGCCGCGCCAGCACGATCATGTGCAGCGCAAGTGGAAGAAGCAGCAGAACGAACGGGAGCGCCAGCAGCAAATCGAACGCGAAAATCTGCGTCTGCTGCAGAAGCTGGGCGACATCATGCGCAGCAAGCGCATGGACAATTTATGGCTGGAACCGAGGCCCAAGTACAACCGTGCTCATAATTAACTCTAAATATTCTTTACAATCATTTTCTACGATTTCCCATAGTTTTTTGAACCGGGAGAAGATGTTTCAGACGCGTCCTTACTCCAGCCTGCCACAGATTGTGACCATTTACGGCGCTCAACCTCCCGGGCCACTGCTCTATGGCATGATGTCCAAGCCAACTGTTGTGGGCCGCTGTCCCACCTGCAATGGTAATCCCGAGCGCACACAGGTGGGCGCCCTCACGCAAATCCTCGAGCCGCAGGCCACAGCAGCAGCCGGAGCTGCAACAGCGCTGCTATCAATGCGGCGGCATCAGGAGCATGGATCAAAATCTCTTCGACGACTACTCTTTTGATTATGAATAACAATTACGCAAACAAATAAAAAGTAGCTACAGATTTATTAAGCAAACGACTCGCACATATTCACGCCTTTGGTATGTTGGGCGGTAACGTGGCAAAGGTGAGAAAGCCCGTGTGACCAGGCAGCACTTGGGGACAACTAGATGTTAGATACTTTTTCAGCTCCTTGGGTTCCTTCGCTTTGCTATCATCTATCGAATTCGCCTCGCTGCTTTTAGGCATCTTGAGAAACTCCAAATCGATGACAGGCAATGAACGGGTTTTAATCACACTCTCCTGCTGCAGCACCTCCATAGAACAGATTTCAGTGAAGCCCAGTTTGATGAGACCATTAATACAACGCTGCGATTGCTCTATGCATGGGGAGAACGAGCAAAAGCGACCACCTGAAATTGATGATATTTCAAATGATTACACAAAAATACCAATTTTTCCTGGAAATACAAGAAACCTATATTTAAATCTTTATCAAATCCAAATTCGATAATAATTTCTTGCTTCTTGATGTTTTCCCAGAGATATTCCTCTTTATGCAATCTTTATGAATTTCATCATTTCTTCTCTATATTCTGAAATTCTACACCCAGGACATTATCATATATATATAGATATATATAGATATATATATATATATATATATATATATACATATATATTTATCGAATCGAAACCCACATTCTTATACCAATCGCAGCTGCAATGTTGCAACGCGCATTTGGTTTCACTAATGAGTGACAAAGCTGCCCAGCGGGCTGCCTGACCACGTCAACTGCCAAAAGCGGGCGCATTCAATGTCAAACACAATGAAATGGCTAAGACAGACATACAGACAGAGAGTAAGAGAGACAACTGACTGACCAAGCTAGCCAGGGTCTTGATTGCTGCAGCTGCTGTCGGCTGCCGCGCCAAAGGGCGCTGACAACTTGTTGTCATGCGCTGACTGGGCAGTCGCGTTTCACTTACCCGACAACTTCAACGCCTTGAATGCATGTGGCACTGCCAAATCTGGCGCGGGCAGATCCAAAAAGACCGCATCGGCCACACCATCCAACTCGCTAGTGAAGCCCAAATTGCACACATCTCGATGATAGACCGTTACAAAGTCGCCGAGACCATGCCGCTTAAATTCATCGCGCGCCTGATCCGCTCGCGCCTCATGAAAGTCGAAGGTGTGCAGGTGACCCGTTGGTTTCAGAGCACGCAGAAAATAATGTGACAAGGAACCGGAACCGGTGCCAGACTCAACGACCACTGCGCCAGGGCGTACTTCCAGCTGATGCAGTATCATGCTTATGTCCGGCGTATATATAATTTGTGTGCGATGCGGCAACGTTTGCGTCCACAGCTCGGGATTTGGCTGCAATACATACGCCCAACCTTTGGACAGTTCCACCCGACTTCCATACTCCACACCAATAATACCTAGCGGTGTTAAACAATTAAATAAATTAAACATCAAGTTATTGCAGATCCAGGTTGCTTACTTTGCACTTTTAGTGAGCCGTAGGGAGTCTGGAAGATGTGCGCTATGGTTTCGCCTTTCTTGTTTACTATTGTCGGCACCGCTTCTATGGCGTGCATGGAGTTCACGCTCAGATAGAGAATGACAATGTCGCCTTGCTCTATGTGTGTTTTGGGCTTCAGAAAACTCATTATTATGGTTGATATTATTATGGTTGATCGTTGTTATTGCCGGTTATTAGCGAGGAGAGAGACGCGTGGGCCAGCTTAGACCGCTAGCGCCAATATTAATACCAAATTGTGTGACCAACATAATTATAAAAAAAAAATACTACAATTAAATGCGTTTCCTTAATTTCAAATTACCCAAAATTCGTTACTCAATATATACATAAAAATATGGAATTATTTACATAATCAATAATAATTAAAATGTTTGATTATTGCTTTGCTGACCAGTTGCATCAAAAATGTAACCAGTTTTTAAAGAGTGTGTAAAAAATACTAACAAATTTTTTAAGTCACTTACCAGCACCTTTTTTGTGTGACGAGCAGCCCACTTCACGTTGATTTGCTTCTTCTTTCCCTCTTTTGGTTTTTTACTACAAGTATGTAAAGCTTGCTTTCTGTGAATTTGTCAAATAATCTGTGGACATCCGCAAAACGGCTAATAAATTTTTATTAATTGCTATACACGATGATTGACAAATATTTACTCTATAACATTACTACTTACTTATATAAATTTCATTGTTTTTTCCATCCAATTTTATGCTCTATTGGAACCTATCTCCGATGACTTCTGAATCAATTCGCACCAAAAACTGGCAATTAAAACAAAAGCAGCCGCAACATGGTCCAGCGCTTGACTTTGAGGAGACGCCTGTCGTACAACACCAGATCCAACAGGAGGCGCATGTAAGTGATAAACGAACAATTTGTTTCTTTTTTGTTGTAATCTAATAAGACGCTTGTTTACAGAGTGCGCACTCCCGGCGGCCGTCTGGTCTACCAGTACGTGAAGAAGAACAAGACCGTGCCTCGCTGCGGTCAATGCAAGGAGAAGCTTAAGGGTATCACCCCATCCCGACCAAGCGAGCGTCCACGCCTCTCCAAGCGCCACAAGACCGTGTCCCGTACATACGGTGGCGTCTTGTGCCATGGCTGCCTACGTGAGCGTATTGTGCGCGCCTTCCTCATTGAGGAGCAGAAGATTGTCAAGGCACTGAAGAGCCAGCGCGAGGCGCTCGTCAAGCCCGTCAAGAAGGTCGAGAAGAAGACCACCAAGGCGGCACCTACCAAGAAGACCGCTGGTAAAACCGGTGGCAAATCCGCTGTCAAAACTGCATCCAAGAAACCCGCACCCAAGGGTGGCATTAAGTCCAAGAAGTAAATATGCTTAGGATTTTCATTGAGTTAAGAATTGGACGAGGAAGCATTTTGTAATAAAGAAAATACAAGTTGGAAAAATTTTAAATTTTTATTTTTGGCTAATTGATTGGATTGCGGTTCGGAAACAAGTTAAATTATCAGCTGTTCGAACTTTGGAAAATTAATGAAAGTTGCCATTCACATTCTTTGCTTACAAGCATGTGCAACTGCAATTCTGTATATTTGAAAATGGCTGTAGACCACGCAACTGAAAAATTGTAAAAGTTTTTTTTCTTGTGCAAGGGTTTGTGTCCAAACTAAGCAAACAGCTGTTTAGCTACTTCTTCACATTGACATTCAGATTTCATGCAAACAATTCAATGCGGTTTCTGACTTAGAAATTGTTGTCATAATTAATTTATGATGCCACAGCAAACGGTCGTCAGCAAGGTGAACGAATCGTACGTACATAATAAATTATTGACTTAGTTGTCACATCACATATTAAATTTTTCAGAACAATAAGAGTGCCATTTGATACGCCGGAGCATGCAAAGATAGCCTTCCGGGTATTGAGTGTCGACCAGGAACCCCGCCGAAACTTTGTGCAGAAATCACTAAGCCTAGAGGACGATGTGCTTGTAGTGCACTTTATTGCCGATCAAGTAAAGAATTTACGCACTGCTATAACATCGTTCTTTGAGTGCCTGCTATTGTGCCAGGATACCATTAAACTGTTTGGCGAGCAGCCCCAATCGCAGCTGAATAACAATGCCGGAACACAGTCCAGCGCCGACTCCACATAGAGCAATCTATGGTTTTGCTTTTTATATACTTTTTACTGTGCTATTCTTTGTTTATGTGGCATGGGCTTTTCTGCCCGTGGAACTGGGCCTACACTCCTATTTACCGGACAAATACTTTGCAGTATTCGTACCGGTATTGGTTATGGTTTGTGCGTTCTTTGCCGTCATCATCTATCCGGCCATTAACCTTTCATTGACTCCCGATATCGATTCAATTGCCTCGGTTGTGGATCTTAATCTGGTGCTGCCCAAAGGCGCGAAGTTCACCTCCTGGTCACAGTTACAAAGTAAACGCTCTGAAGCTACGCCGAAGCGGAATCCATCACCAGCAGAAAACCTGTGCAATCTGTGCAAAACAGAGCACGTGGCAAAGACTCGCTCACCCATATCTCCACTTCGATTTCTAGACTTACAAGAAGTAAACGCCACATATTACAACTAACAAATTAGTTTTTAATCTTAATTTCTTCATTTGCGACGCACTGTCGTCCAACCTTCCTCTGGCTCCACAAACTGTTCTGCTTGCTGTTTGCGTGTCTGGGAGCGGGTTACACGTCCACTACTTGTAGCGGCCTCGTCTTCATCGCTATCACCATCATTCATGGGATCGTCGGTATTTTCATCTTCCATGTCGTCATCCTCATCAGACGATGAATCACCGTCTATGGGTGTGTATGTTATTTTGACATCGGGACGCAACCAAACCTTCCCTTGCGGCAATTTGCTGAGCTCAAGTTCAATCTGTGGGTATTGCGAGGCTGCTGCCATTTGCTTGTAACGCAACAGGTTGCGGCATATCTCAGGTATGGACTGATCGTCGCAAAGTGTGTTGAATTCCTGATCCATCAGCTCTTCTATCACCTCCTGCAGTTCGCCCTGCGTTATGTTCTCGTTGCCCACACAGTATTCATATGTGTAGTCCATTATTTGTATGGCGACCTGCGAAATTGTTAGGTTACATTTTTTATATAGAATGAAATAAAATGTTTAAATACCTGCTGGCCATTTCGTCCGCCCATGCCATGTTCGACAGCTAAGCGGAGATTTTGCCAATTGTTGAATATCTTTTCAACAATAGAGCGAAAATTTCGATGGAAATCGGTTTGTGCCATAGCGTGCAATGCCAGTGCTGCACAATTGTGAATGCTTCCTTGCCATTCGCTTGTAAACACATTTGCTGACAGCTGAACGTTTGTTTACATGTCGACGCGCGAAAGTATGTCGGACAGCGAAAATGTGGAGCAAGCTCTAAATGAGCATGACATGATCACTGAAGCTGTCTTAGCGGATGCCTATGAAGAAGATGGCGATGACGAGGATGCGGAACCAATAACCGCACAAAAAGTGAGTTCGCTCTTCCTTATGAGTGTCTGCTTTCATGCTTTTCTTGAATATTTTTACTAAGGTGCTGGAAATCTTGGAAACCGCTTGGACAAATGAAATGTGTGCACCAGAATTATTACAGCACCAGTCAGATATGCTGGAACTGATGATGTCGCAGGTGGCACACATGGAAGAGCAAATGAAGGATCTAGACAAGAATGACTTTCGCTTTGTGGTGCATCAGATGGAATTGGAACGCATACGTTATATCATGGCCAGCTATTTGCGCTGTCGTTTGCAAAAAATCGAGGCCTTCACCCAGCATATCATTAATCAGGATGCAACGTATGATGTGGCTGACAAGCGACTTTCACCCGAAGAGTCAAAATATGCACAGGAGTTCGCGACAAATGTGGATGAATACTTCAATAAAGTCGCCACACGATATATGCCCAATCAGCAGCGTGGAGAGGCTGAGCAACGAGTTGTGGCCCCAAATCTTATGAGTCATGTATTTCTAAAGGCCAATGTGGCAGGTGCGTTAAGCGATTTTTATGTTATACATTTTTTATTTACAACAAAATTATTTGTATTTAGTGTCCGGTGTTATAGTCGGCGTCGATGATGAGGAGGTGGATCTTACGCCAGGGTCACAGCACATTATACCCTATCAACTGGTGTCAGATCTAATACAGAGAAATCAAGCGAAACTTATATAAATTTCCTAAAAAATACACATTAAATTTAAAATTACAATTACTAGTGAACCTATTTTTCGCGCTCGAGCTACTGCCAGTGTTGGTAGACACTCATTGTTGCTGCTGCTGCTTCTTCGCTAACAGCTGGCGGCTTAATAATGACGTCACAACATCCGTTTCCAGTGGAAATTCTTGGGTACACACGCCACGACTTAGTCTCAGTTGTCAATGTGGCGCGCAATTACGCGTATACCAAAAACACTTGAGTCACTTGGCCAAGGTGTCGCAGTGCTACCTCAGCAGTTCCAACATTCCCAACTGTACAACAAACACAACAACATCCGCAGTATAACCAATTACCCCAGCTTACACAACGAAGCGTCTCTCATAAAACCGAAATACAGAATGTCAAGTGTGAAGCCAAAGGTTGTTTTTGTATTAGGCGGCCCCGGTGCTGGCAAGGGCACGCAATGCTCGAAAATTGTCGAACGCTTTCATTTCGAACATTTGTCCGCTGGCGATTTGTTGCGTGAGGAACGATCACGCGAGGGCTCCGAATATGGCCAGCTAATCGAGGATTACATACGCAATGGCAAAATAGTGCCCGTTGAGGTCACATGTTCGCTGCTTGAAAATGCGATGAAAAACTCAGGAAAGTCGCGGTTTCTCATCGACGGATTTCCCCGCAACCAGGACAATTTAGATGGCTGGAACCGCCAAATGTCCGACAAGACAGATATGCAGTTTGTTCTCTTCTTCGATTGCGCTGAAGACGTGTGCGTGACGCGCTGCTTGGGACGCGGCCAGAGCGGCTCCGGCCGCACCGACGACAACATGGATAGCCTGAAGAAGCGTATACAAACGTACAACAACGACTCGTTACCCATCATCAAGTACTTTGAGAATGCCGGCCAGGTGAAGACCATTGATGCCAGCCCCGATGCAGACAAGGTTTTCCAGCAAGTGGAGCGTGTGTTTGTCTCTAATGGTTTCCAATGAATTTCTATGCGGATCTACCTATTCAATGAGTTGACGGTCTAGTTTGAATTGTATGTGTGTTTCCTAATGTGTGTAATCTTAATTGTATATCCCTCCCTTACTTAAATATATATATATTTACGCTTGTTATCATAATTAGCAATACGATATTTTTGCGTGAGGGAATTTACGGGCATATCAAAGATAACAATTTTGTTGCTTAAAAATAACAGCGTCTAGCATATAAAACGGCAGGTGAATGCGATGATTAACTAATCCTTGCGCAGCTTGTCCAGACGCGCTTGTAAATCGGCATCTGCATCGGACATGGGTGTTGAACCACCGCTGCCGCCACTTGCACCACCACCAGCTGCACCGCCACCACCACCAGAAGCTGGTCCGCCGCCTGCTCCACCTGCAGCAACAGCTGCAGCTGCTTTCTGTGCACCCGCTCCACCTGCTATGGACAGCGACCCAGAGGCAGTGGGTAGATCGCCTAATTGTTCGCCCAGCTGTAGGCCCAGCTCGTCAAGCACTTGGGAAACAACGGCATCGGTCTCTTCTTCATCGCCCTCATCTTCCATGGCATCGTCGATGGCGTCGTTAATCATCTCCTCCTTCATGTCCATCATCTCAGATTGCTTTTCGAAGTCTTGGAGTATCTTTTGTATTTGCGGGAGATTCAGTTGACGATTCATGTTCTGCATAGCCTTGGTGACACCTGCGAAAATAGCGATATCATAAGTAAGATATGAATCATCGATGGAAACCTTCTCTTCCCTTACCTTTCATTGCTTGTGCCATTGTGTTTTGAGATTTGAGCGTTTGTATTTTAAGCGAGACCGCTTGAATGTTTGCCTTCATAAGCATAAACTTCTTGGAATACCGACGCGTGCGCACTAAATCCTTGGCCATGATCTTGACCGCATCCATTTGGCCCTCTTTGGCCATTTTCTTGATGTCGGCAATGATTTTCTTTTCTTGTTGGTCCATTTTCATACGCTCACGATCCAAATCGCGCATTGCCTTATTCAAAGCGCGCTGATTCTTGCGCAGCATCTCATCCGGTGAGATCTTTTTACCAAAAAGCCAATCCATTTTGCCAAATTAGTTTCTATTTACGACTTAAGAACTGTGCAGGAATGAACTTAAGAATTACTCATCAAAACAACAAATGATGGCATAGCGTTGCCACTATGCCATCAGTTGGTTAACAGAATTTCTTTTTACTTAACAGAAAACTCCCATCATTAACAGTTCTGGTTAGAATGCAGACAAAACAGCTACAAGCATACATATTTCTAAGTTACTTACAACAAACTTTTACATTGATTTTAATTTTAAAAAATTTAATTTCTGTATTTGTTTGCACTTCAAGCAGAAAATTAGAATGATTTGTTAAGTCGACAACTTGGTGTAGGATTGTGAACACCATACTTCGCATTACGCTACAGTACGCGGAAAATGTTATGTTTACGTTGTTCGTTTAGTGCTTACGTTAACATCTGCATAGCTCAGCCTCACAACAAGTTTTGAGTTTGTGTTTCAGTTTTCTAATCAACAATGAAGGAGTTCGACGATTTCAATTTTAGCGTGGATAAATGTAGGAGTTGCAGTCATATAGTCCGACTTGCTTTAAACACTTTATTTTTAAATTCGCATAGACACCAAGGAGTTGACTCGGGAATGTGTGGGAGGAAGCGATTTGCAGCAGCGAAAAAAGGAAATCGAAGCCTACAATGAACAAACGTCAGCAACGCTCAAGCAGACCTGCAAAAAGAACTATATGCAGTTTATACAAACGGCCAAGGAGATCTCACGTAAGCGATAAATTTGTTTGTACATTGTCAGTTTTAATATCAGCTTACCAACAGACCTGGAATCGGAAATGTACCAGCTGTCGCATATTCTCATCGAGCAACGCAACATTTTGGCCACCATGACCGATGGGAAGACGAGCAGCCACCTGAAAGCGGACAGCATCGAGGCCGAGAGCAGTGCGGCCACTGAGGATGTGGAGAACAGTCAAGCGACGCGCGCCGTAAAGGAAATGGTGCAGGGCTTTAATGGGAATCTTGAAGGAAAAACGTTCCTAAACGAGGGAGCCCTTATTGAATTGGATGCCAATGATTACCGGCCCATACAGCGCGTGTTCTTTTTTCTGTTCAACGATGTGCTTATTGTGTGCAAAGTGAAGCATGATAAGTAGGGCACCCTCAACATAATCCTTAAATCTTCTGACTTAATATGTATGACAAATTGCTTGCAGGCGCCTGGAGTTTCTTACGGAATTCGATCCCAAGAAGATAGCCGTAATCAATATTAAAGATCTGGATGGCGTTAAGAATGCCATCAACATTATAACGCCGGATGGTTCCAAGATATATCAGAGCATCACAGCTGCCGGCAAGAGCGAATGGATTGAGAAATTGGAAGATGCTTTTCGCTTTGACCAGCAAAAGAAACCAAAGAAGGGACAAGCACCGCAGCCACCAAATCGCTCCAAACAACAGCAGCAGCAACAGCAATCCCAATCGAAAAGTGCCACGCCCGAGAAATTACCTGAGCAAAGTCCCACAGATACGCAACCAAAATCCCTCGAGGATGAAACACCCGAATGGCTAAGCACGGCCAGCGAGGAAATTCAAACACTGGTGGCTCAACGTCACTTCGAGGACGCACAGTCCTTGATCAAGCGCACCCAGGAGTTTCTTAGCGTTGCCCAGCACAAAAAGAAACTGCTCCAGGCGGACGTAATTGAGGCGAAGATTAAGCAGCAGGAGCAAAAGCTTACAAATGTGCTGCTCCAGGAACTGTCCAACAGCCACAATCGCAATTTACAAATTGCACTGCGTGAAGTTCGACGACCTCTCAAGATACTTGTCGAAATGGGTCGCTCTCGACAGGCGAGTACCACATTACTAAAGGTCTGTACGGTTAGTCTTCGTGTGGCACAACGCGAGGCGCGTCGTAACAACGCAGAAATATCGGAACTTTTCTTCTGCGACTTAACGCAGGTGGCATGCGATTTTCTTAGCGCCTTTGAGCAGCAGCCAGCATGTGTTAGCGGTGAGTTAACCATGTCGTTAGATACTCACATTATTCTAAATCTTAACCTTTTAGCTCTCGTCGTGTGGTGTAATGCGGAACTGCAGTACTTTGCCAGCCAGTTGATCAAACACTATCTGACAAAGGGCACCTCCTTGGAGGCAGTGGCCAAGTGCGTGGAACGCGTGCGCAAGCCGGCCACGAAGCTAACCGAAATTGGCTTGGATATAAGTTACCATTTGGAGGGTCTGTTGCGTACAACGCTCGAGTCGCTTATTGAGGAGTCTAAACAGCGCTTGTTGGATGCCGTGGGTCGCACCGAAGAGAGCTGGCAGCCGTACAATTTGCAAACGAAATCAAATTTGAAGCGATTGTTGCTAGAATTGGATACGTTAGGCATTGATATACGCGGCCAGACCACTGGTGACACATGGCTGAATCTTACCCAATCCACAGTCGTTTTTATACGTCAATTTCTGCTACTGACCGAACATTGCGGCTGCCTGGGAAAAGGTGAAACGCTGCTGCAGAGCCTGGAACATCTGTTGCGCGATCTGTTTTTGGCGCATCATGCCCTGAAGCCACCCAGCGATATGTCGATGGATGTGAGTAGATCATGAAATCACTTGTCCGTCATAAACCTCGTAATAACTTGTAACCCATAACTCATAGCCCAACTTTGTGATGAAGAACAAAATCTTTCTGGTGGACAATTTGCTGCCCATTGCCATTGAGAAGTTCCGCAAGACATCAGGTCGCCAGTGCGAGACACTGAGGGAGCTCCACACGAAGCTTTCTCGTCAACACGGTGCGCCAGTGCCGCGTCAGCGGAGCGTCTATACGACCGACGTTTTTTAATAAGAATAGACGACTTTACTTTTGATTACATATATAATTTTTTATTTTTCTTTTTCGTTTTGCTTCAATTATTTATAATATAATTATATACATATATAACCACAATAATAATAATATTTGTAAAATTAAAAATCGAAGCGTGTGCTGCACTCTATTCTCTGTTATTTGCTTATTACAATTTCCTCTGGGCGCGAGATGTGCCCACAAATATATATATATATATATATATATATATATATATATATATCCGATTCATTTCTATATAAACTAATGTGTAAACAAGTTTCTTTGTTAAATTATTATTTTGTGTTCTTGTTTTTTTTAGCTGCACAAAACATAGGATTTTACAATGTTTGGATTTGAAAAAAGATTGGATTGTTTTTTTTTTTTGATTTTTCAAAATTACATACAAGCAAAAGCTGGCTGCTTTGGCGCCCCCGACTATTGTTGTATGGGTGTGTGTGTGTTTGCGTGTGTTTGTTATGTGCGGATGTGTGGACGTGCTGTTGCGGCGGCGCCCGCTTCGTTTTTTGTTATTGTTGTTATAATTTATAATGTAAAATTCTTAACTAAACTCCTTATTAATTATATTAATTTATATATATATATATATATATATATATATATATATATATATATATATATATATATAAATATACATATATACTTTTTCTGCATGCAAATGTGTTTTGTGTGCGAAGGGAAGGAAATTGGGGGCGTCTCAGGACACAATAAACAGAATTGGCAAAAATTAAAAACATAATTTTGTTATGCACACGCAATCATTAATCATTAATTAGAAAAAAAAAAGAAAACCTTCGCTGCCGACATACAAACACATAGACAAACTAAAAGCACTCACATTTCTGACACATCTGGTATTCATAATCTCAACGCTCCAGCAATGACTAATCCATGCTGGGTCCATAATTAAAAAGGACCCTGCACTTAATTCTTTTCATGAGCGTAGTAGGTAACGCAGACTGTTTTTACTCATTTTTGTTTTTTATTTCTTTTTTTTGTAGTTTTTCTCTTTTTGTTTTCCCGTTCTGCTGCACTCTATATTCCTCATTTTTATTATTATTATTATTATTATTATTTTGTTTTAGGTTTTTACTTTGCAATTTGTGTTCAACTTTTTATTGGACTTAGCCTAGGCTTATAAGCTACAAGTACGCTTAATTTTTTATAGGTTTTTCTTTAATTTTGTTTTATTTTTTATTTATATTATAGAATTTTTACTTCGCTCGTATGCACCGCGTTGCTGCCACTGCGTTTTTGCTATTATTTCTTTGTTTGTTTGTTATTAGCATGCTATCGAACAATGTGTTTTTTTCATTTTTATTATTTTTTTATAGTTGTAATAAAAACCTATATACGCTTATTACAAAATGAAAAGTGTGGATTCCCTCTGGTGTTCTTTTGTTTTGTTTGTTATTGTAGTTTTTGTTTTAATAAATAACTTCATAGACAGTAGCCTTTTTATCGCCTGAACCCGTCACAATATATTTGTCGTCAGTTGATATGTCGCAGCTAAGTACGGATGATGTTTCCTTCGACTGCAAACGATACAAAGAACAAAAAACACAACAATTAGCAAATATAAACTGATTATAATTATATACACATAAATGGATATATATACAGATAGATTCTCAATTGTTTTCGAGGTGTAAATATTTGAGGTTTTATTATAGAGTAAGACTGGTTTTGGCGGTTCTCCGAATCAAATCGGTAGACTAACTTTTAAAACTTAATTTTTTGTTTAAAACTGGCGTTTGAGATCGTCGATTAAATCACTCACCTGGAATATACTGGCACCATATGGTGTTCGCCATGCGTTAAGCAGGTTGTCTTTGCCGGTGGAAACGAACCATTTGCCGCAGGTGGCAAATCGCAGCGACAGAACGCAGCTCTCGTGCAAATGCAGCTGATACTTGTCTGGTTTCGAAGCATGCAAAACTTCCACATGTGAATTCTCCATACCCACGGCCAACCAGTCACCTGTTATTAGAGTGGAATACATAAATTATTACGTGTTTTATGGTCTCGTAATCTATACGAGAAAAGACGTATCTATAAAACAAACTAACCTGTGGGACAGTACCCAAGCGAAAATATTTGAGAACTGAAGTCGTGTTGCTGCAGTTGGCGACCTTCGCGCAGGTCCCACGAGCGCACTGTGTTGTCAAGACCGCCAGTCCATAATCGTGAGCCATCCGGACTGATGTCAATGCATGAGGCACCGTCTGTATGACCCTGGAACTGACGCACCAGTATCTCATTGTGTAGATCCCAGACAGCGATGTTGCCATCGCTGCAGCACGAGAAGCACACCTTCGAATCGGGACTGATGGCGAGCGCATAACAGGCAGGCGCTGCTGAGGTTAGCTCGGCCTTGATGCGTGGCGTAGGACTGGCCAAATCCCATATCGATAGATTTGATGCTTCGCCACCGACAATAAGTGTGCGTCCATCCGGCAGTAGCTTCACCGAGCGTATATAGTTATCGCGCTGCAGGCAATCCAGTTGGCTGACGGGGTTCTTATTGCCTGGCTGTGAGATGTCCCACACTTTGACGCAGCCCTTACCACCCGTATAAACATATTTTGTAGGATTTGAAATAGTCACCGCACAGACGACCTCGCCATGCGATAACGTGTTTATTTGTCGCGCATGTCTTGGTATTCCAACACCCACCAACGCGTCCGGCGGGAATGGCACCGGTTGCAAGCTACCCTCGCCGTTCATATGGAAAGAGTATGCACTGTTCCCAAAAGAAAACCAACATTAGTTATACATTAAACGTAGAAAACTTTATATTGTGCTGTACTTACGGCTTTCCACCAGTTAGTGCCGAGGGATGTGGAATGCCGTTTGTTCGTACATGCGCATGCGGATCGTACGGCAACGGCGGTCGTCCATAGGCGGGATCCGATGGTGGACGCTGATAGGGATCCGCCGGTCGCTGATACGGCGACGCTGGATAGCCAGCCGGCGGTGGGCCACCTTGTTGCATCATTTGTTTAGGATTTGCGCCCTGAGATGGTGCTGCAGCGTTTGGTGTCGGTGTGCGTGCCTTTGCTCCCGGTGTGCCCGGCTTATCCATCTAATAGTGAAATAAAAAAACATCAAAAATTGAATAAGATTTTTCCACCGGCAAGAATTTGGTCTTATTCGATAGTAGATTTATAGGATAGAATTATATTTGACAAGTGCACAATATTCTTAAAAGAAAACCAAATACTGTATTCGCGCTTACATCTTTTGTCTTGAGGCTGGGTGTTGAACGCGAAGAACTGGAGCCGGACCGCGAGGGCGGACGCTCCTGTTTTATGCCACTGCTCCCCGGTTTGTCCAGACGCTCGCCGTTTAAGCTCTCACGATCGCGCACCTCCATGGACACATGTTCGCCATTAGGACGTGGTGAGTGGGATTCCTACAAGGGTTATTGAAATGACAGTTATTTCACGGTTTTTAAATCTATATTCGTATAGTATTTTTTTTGTTTTGAGGAATTTGTTGCATGAATATCAGGGCCGACACTCAACTCACCATTTCATTTGCAACATCTACGACTAAATCTTGATCGCTTTTCTCGCCTTCATCGTCCTGCAAATAATTTTGAAAAAACAAACAAACACAATAAAACAAAATTCGTACAACGATAACATCAACAACCCAAATAGCAATTCAGTTGTTAATTGCACTAGTCTACAAATATAATTAATACATTTCTTTTATAGTTTTCATTTCGGTTTTATGAAGCGCATGAATTAACAGAGGATTAGAAATAGACAACAACAACTACGTATGAGGTAGGCTACTATATATTATAGGAATATGTTTTTTTTTTTTGTTTTTGGTGAGTTGAGAGGCAGCAACAGCTGATGACACAATGATACGAGTATACTAAATGATATATACGTTTATTATAACTAGATACTCACTTGCAGTTTCTCATCTTTTCGACGTTTCGAGTCGTTCTCAATGTCCAGCGGCGAGCGCGTACGGTATTTCTCACGATCCGCTGGCGAAACCGAATTGCGCTGCAACATTACAAATTGTTCGATTAGTATTTGACAATACCTTCAAGTTTCAAGTGCTGCTACTTACCAGGCGCTCTTCAGCGCCCGCTGGTCCCTCCAAGCCCATGGGCTTTATGTCCGGCCTTTGATGCTCTGGCGGCGCTTTGAGCAAGCCCTGTGGCCCATGTGGCAAGCCCATTGTTGCACCCAATGCAAACGGATTTAGTGCACTCATCGGTTGTGGCGGTCCGCCTGGCACCTGTTGTGCGTGTATTTGTTGCTGCAATTGAAAAGCCGCAGGCAGTTAGTTAGTTGTTCAAATGCTGATTTTGGTGCAGGCGCTTAAAATGTTCTGTTATTTGGCTTTGGGACGTGTAACAAAGGCTATTTTGATGTAGCTGTGCGTGTGTGTGCATACAACACCAACAACATCGACAAGTAGAACAAGCGGCAGCGATTTTGACTTGACGCATTGTTTAAAAAAAATACAAAAGAATGAACAACACCTTGTAGAGAGGCGAGCGAGAAATAACGCAACAAGCAAACAAACAAACGAACGCAAATGGCAAATTACAAAATAATAATCACTTACTAAAAGTTGTTGTATTCCATGTTGCTGCTGATGCTGCTGCAGACACACGCATGCCGCACGCACAAGCCCATCGTTTAATTATAGTATATACAGTTTGTATATAATTATTACAATATAAAAATAAATTAAACAAGTTGGTCGAGCAGCTTGGTAAATTATAATGCTATCGCTAACCTATCTAATCTTAAAAAAGTGAATATATAATATTTTGTTTTGCATGTTGGGATTGAACAATAATTGAGATTAACTTCTGCAACATAACTCAATGGACAGTTTATTATATTTAAAGTTATTAAATTTACTATCGAAATTATTAAACCAGAAACTGAAATAATGCTATTGCTGTATAAAGTATGTAATCCATTTTGCATATAACTAGACGAATAAGTCGTTCAAAAAGGCTAATATGTCTATATGTTGTATTATTTTGCGATCTGGGTAACAAAATTTTTTAAAATTATATCTAAATATTTGTAAATAAGTTTATTCTTAAGAAAGTATTCTGTACTTGCCACTTGGTGAACAAGGCAGAGTCAACTTACCCCAATGATCAGATTCAATTCCTGCATTGTGACTTGCTTCGCACGCTCTACCGCCTGCAGCACTTGTTGCTGATGATCGGCCTGTAGGAATGGAAGTAGCTGGTTGATTAGTGTGTTAAGACGCTTCGCGATTTCCGTTTGCTTGTGCATTTCCACATTAAGGCCATAGGACATTTCATAGTACTGCATTGAACATGTGGGAGAGAAGGATTAAAAACCATAATGAAATTGAAAGTTCATCAATTAAATATATCTTTACCATAACATAATGGCGCTGCATTTCGGTCTTTTCGTTCGCCAGCTTCTCGCACTCCAATTTGATGCTGAAATTCACAGGAAAAATAATCAAAAGGGCAAATTAGTTTAGTTGAAAGAAATCTCGGGCAGCGCTTCCGTCGTCGCGCCGGCTAAAAAATCCTATGACCAGCGCATATGGCGCGCTGCCTGGCAAACCGGTTTACACAGCCAGAGATATACGAGGTTGAAAGGCAGCAATAGCCCAGCAGAGCATGTGCGCATGAAAAACCTACAGCAATCAACATTCTTTTTCTTTTTATATATATTTTAGTAAATCTGAAATCGGACATTCTTTTTACGAATTGAGAATGGAAATACCAGTACGAATATAAATACGCAATATATCCATGAAGCAGGAAAGGACGTTTCCATGACATCATTCGCCACATTGATTTGTCATGTGAACTGATTAACTATATTTCAGGAAGCATGCGATAATTATGTATTAATATATACATATATGGTTTCATGAATTTTTTAAAATCCCATTAACTAATCTTTCGCGATGTTCTGCTGGGAGTTCCTATTGCGAAATTGTATGCCGTAGACACTTGCCTGTGATATTGCGCCTGTAGAAAATTGAACTCCTCCTTGATGCGCTCCAATGTATCGGCAATGGTAAATTTGATTGGGCCCTGAGGTGGTGGTCCCTGTACGTATTGAAGATGGACATGGGGGCGAAACACAATTAGCAAAACACTTGATTGGGTCCCAATGCAATCTGTAATACTTACCCCGGCGGCGGGGTGACGCACCGGTGCGGGATACATTGTTGTTGAGTTGGCGTTGTTGTAATGCCTGTTTGATTGTTGCCCAAGAAGCGACGGGATGAACAACAAATAGTAATTGTAGTTTGTTGTATCGTAATTTTTTGTATATATATTTATATATTTTAGTAGAGCGAATTGCTTATGCTTCCTCTTCCTGTTGGCAGCGCGCCGCTGCCCGCTGCTGCTGGCACCCTGAGATTAAACTCTCCTCTGCCGAAATTAGCAGCACTAGCACCGGAACATGTATAAAATTTTGCAAGCGTTTAATTGCTTTTGTTGTGATTTTAAATTTAGTTCAACTCATGCGTTTCCATATTGTCTAGCATGTTGCGGGTATCCTGCAATGTGAATTTTACGTTTATTAGTTATTGGTCGTTATTTTGCACCATTTTTTCAATACGTAGAATCTCACGCACGCACACACATATACACACAAACATAAGCGCGCTCGCATATTCTTGAGCATCTCAGCAATGGCAGCCATGCCAGCAACAACGAGTGTACACACATACAAACAGAGGACGACGCACGTACGAGGGTATGAGTGTGAGTGTTTACCGCCGAAAAAATCAAACGCACAGTTGCATGTGCCTGGGCGAAATGTTACGCAAAAAACAAGCATGCGACATAGGGTATAAAATGATCGTACACTTCTTTGGCAGCATAAGATATTCTTGTTGAACTATTTCCACATTATCGTGGCATGTAATTTTTGCAAAAGCAATGCACGCTGGCCGCACGCTCTGCACAAACAAATGTACCCCGTGCAATACATATACAGATAGACTGCAATTACGCAGGGTTGCCACCTTTAACTGAACAACAATTACTGCCACTAGTCAGCCGCACCAAGAGCTTGATTATTTTTTAATATATAACCTTTTGTCTTCATGTACTTTGGACAGTTAAGCAATGAAATAAAATAATTTTTGTAAAAGCAATATAGTATCCCAAAAGAAAATGTGATTTCCTGGCAACACTACTTGCTTGCGACAGCGAGTTGCTCACTCACATATACACAAACAGACAGACAGACTTATACACGCGCGCGCACCCTAAACGGACGAGTGACAAAACTCACACAAACACAGGCGCACACACGAGCGCAGCGCAAAAGAAAAATTGGCCCAACAAAAAATAAACAAAAGCAATTAAAAAACGGAGTAGTTGGCAGTACCAATTTTCATTTGGGCATTTAGCTTGCCGTACAATTGCACATTTTATTGCCACTTTGTGTGCGTACACATACACTGCACTGATATTTGCATGTGCCGATTTTTTCAATGCAAAAAACGTAATTTTTTACTCGAATTCTACCCGTAAAAACTGGCCTCTTCAACCGACCGACCGACCGACTCGCTACGTCTGACAGTCAGCCTGAGCGTCGTGTATGTGTTGTGTGGCGTTCTCGTTCTCGTCTCTATTTTTTCGCATCTGCTTTAGCCGTCTATTTTGCACTTAGATTTTCGGCTGCATTTAATTGAAATTCGAGATAGTTTTGTACTGTCCGAAACGCACAATTACATATAAATGTTGATCAACTTTACTGCCGATTTGTTTTTAAATTGCGAACGTGATTTTAATGCGTGGAAAAAATAAAAAGCCGACGATATATCGCTAGATATATCTCATCACTTTATTATTTAGGTATATCGCCGGGCCTCCATATTATATCGACACTCCACTTTGATTTATCGATTTGAGTGGTTCGTGAATGTTATCGAAAATTTGTATTTATCGTTTATGCAACATTGTTGAGAACGAAAAGGGATTAATGGGGCGCGCAGTGGACGTTTAAAAATCAATGCAATATAATATATTTATCACACAAGCTAATATTAATCTAATCTATAAAATAATAGAATAAATAAATAAAAAGTTTTCTTTTCATTATAAGAATATAAGAAATATAAAAATAATAATAAAGTTTACGTGTAATAAGATGCAAATTTAAATAAGCTGATGATATTAAATTTATCTAAATTCCGATGTTACACTAATTTCAACTGTCAGCTCTATTTACAAAGAATTTCTATCTGAAAATGTTGTGTGCTTTCTTTTTATTTCGGCGCCCAATGCTGAAAGTGAAAGTCACCCTTTTCCTTGCCCAGCCCATATTAATCATAAGTCAAATAATTTTATGTTTCTTAATTGCATTTATTTAATTGCTTTACTAATTGTTTTGTTCCCATCACAGTTGGTTATCACAGTTGCGTTGTCTTTTGTTTGCCTCTTGGTGTTTACCGGCTATTGCCTGACATTTTACCAGGGGCGCCATAGTTTCTCGCCCTCTTCTGGCATCGGCGATGGGGCAGGACTCTCGCAATCACTGTGATATCCCGATGAGGCGGGGCTGAGAGGCGCCGAGTTGCAGTTGATGCTCAATTCGGTTGCCGCCTCCGACTCGGACATTGTTTGTGCCTCATGGAACTGCTGTAAATTCTTGTAGACGCGGCCCAGATGCGACATCACCGATTTACCCAGATCAACACTCATGCCAGGTGTGGATGCCATAACACGTGACACCTCATTGACGGCATTCATATAACCATTACGGAAGCTCTCCAATGGCATGGGTGGTGTTGCTGCTGCTGGTGTTTCTGTTGATTTGCCTGTCTTTTGTTGACGCATGAATACGACAGCTGATTCGAGCATCTCGGCCTTGTCCATGCGCAGTATGCCATCGTCGCCGCGCAGCTCGGCGACAAGTGTCTTTAGCGTGTCCAGGCACTTGTTGATGCGCGCACGACGCTGACGCTCCAACAGCGGCTTCTTCACCTTCTGGTAGATCTGTGTCTTGGTTGTGTATTCCATTTTTACGTGTATATTTGATTAAATTTCAGTTGCGTTTTGCAGTGCACAAAATGCTCGTGGTTGCCTTGTTGCTGGCTGTATCGTGAATGATACCTTTTGGTTGTCAGTGGCCTGCTTTTATAGTCCGGGCCCAAGTTCAGAATCCACCCTCGGCCACGGCCACGCATGAGCGCTCCTGTCTCGCTCGCACGCACGCGCATGTCCCTGGCAGCACTCTCCCTCTCCGACACGCAGGCGTTGGAACTGTGCGGAACAGCTGCAATTGAGCGGCTGGCATGGAGGACAATCGGCAATCCTTGTGGCTCGTGGCGTGGGAACCGACCTGAAAGTAAGTTTCTCACACAATTTTTTTTCTCGTTTGTTTTCCTTTTGGCCACATGCTTCGCTTTTTTAAAGGATCAGAGCACAAATTTTGCAGCTGTCGCTGTTTTGGGCATTGCTCTGGCTGTTGCTGTTGTTGCTGCTGTTGCTGCTGCTGCTGTAGTTGCTCTTTAGACCGGTGTTATTATCCTTAATGCATACTTCACTGCTTCATCCTGTGCGTGTGCGTGGGTCGTTCCCGTTCTCATTGTTATCCTGCCGTGCCAACTCTCGCTTATTGTTTCATCAATGTATGCAGATGATGATGGCATAATGCGGTCTCTGCCTCGATCCCTGTTTTCCACGTTTCCATTGCCCGATGAGTGTTTATTGGACACAATTAGTGTGGCATATTGGCTTCGTTAGGCTATGGCCTCTGTCTTGGCCTGCCAGGTCAGGCGGGCGCTGAAAGTGTGGCAGCGCGTGGACCTGGCAAAGGTGATCGCTGGGTGAACTGGGTGATAGGGGGTTATTACTTACAACCCTCCTCCCAAAATCTAAGATGTAGTACTCAGCTAACAATTATCAATTATCATCAATAATTGATCAGTTTCACGCTTGATGCATTAATAATAATTAGAAGCTGAGTAGGGTGCGATAGTTTACTTTAGATAATCAATAGGTGTTTGTGTTAGGTGAATGAGCTGGCAGGAGTCACTCCAATTAGAAATAATATTAGCTAATTTAGTTAATTAGTGCAGTTCTAAGTGCATAACCTTAAATCTTATTTTCTTGAAAGGTTTATAGGATGTCTTACTATATTAGAAAGGAGTGCTAATAGAGTGTATTAGATTCCAAAAACTACTAATATTTTTCTAATAATTATAATTGTTAATTAACTATTAGAATTGTCAACTCAACAGCTGTATGTGACGTGGACTTAGTTGGAGGCTTTAATAGCAACTGGTATAAAAATGAGTTCCTTTGCTAATTTGTCATTACATTCAAAATTTCTAATAAGAGAAACTAATTAACTCAAAATATGGATTATATTTCTAATATTTTCGAGTTTGTTTTATAAGAAAAATAGTCTATATTGTTACATTGTGTTGAGTGTTATATAGCCCATTAAAAAATGGAATTCCGGTTGTTATGATTGTGTTAAAATGTGTGTAGCAGGCGGAAGGAGGCTTTCATATGCTTAATGATGATCGAGAGCAACTTCGATATATTCTATATTGTAAGCGTTAAATCTGAACTAGAGTCAAATGACTCTACTATATTGGATAGTTATATAAGTTCATCCTATAATAATTATAATGTTAAAAACATAAAAATAAATGCAAAAAGACAGAATATCACATGTTCGATACAAGTGTTAATTGATTGAGATTAAATAGTCATGTGACTCCACTTTAATATAGCTCTCTTTTCCTATGAATACTTCGAGAAAATAAATAAAATATATAGTCTCAAATATACATATATAAAAAAAAATTATTATATATATATATATATATATATATATATATATGATAATTTTTTAATTAATGACAAATCTATTCATCTCTTGAAATGATCTTTCGATTGATTCACACTTAACGAATTTCCTATTGGACAGGGATAGGTTCACTTGAGCGAGTATTAAATTCCAATTATATTTCATTCTGTTTAGAATAGAACAAGCTGTAAGAAATAACTGTAAACTGTTTTAAAATATAAAAGATAAAAGTATTTCTTTTCATGTTTGTTTTTTATATTTATGTATTCATATTTTGTTTTCGTTTTTGTTTTGCTTAAACTCTATAAACATTCGTATTGGCTAACAGACTTCTGGCTAATTGCTATAATGGAGTCAATAAAACGTGCCTATCACAGACCTAACTTAGAAAACTGCGTAACACTTAATTAGAGGCAAAATGAAGATCATTGTAAAGCTTTGTAAAGCGACAGTTCGATTGCGTGCGTGTCCCGATGACTGCGGAGCAAGTGCCTCCTTTACCAGGGACGCCAGACGCTGGTTCCGTTGTTGCTAATCTGCAGCAGAGACTGGGCGGCAACGGGTGTAGCTGAGCCAGATGAGCTGCAATCACTGTCACTGGCGTAGCCGCTGGAAACGGGGCTGTAGGTGTCACGGCTGCTGGTGCTGCTCTTGCTGGAGTATGCGGAGTCGCAGTTGATGCTGAGTGGCGTATGCATTGACATGGGCGTTGGCTGCTCCATGGGCTGCTCCAGCTGATTGAGGCGCATGCCCAGGTGGGTCATCAGTGTGGTGCCAAAGGCTACATCTACTTTGGGCAGTGCAGCCAGTGCACGTGAAACTTCGTTGGCGGCACGAATGTAGCCGGCACGGAAACTGTGCTCCGTGGCGGATGCATTGGTATTGTTATTGGCGGCCTTGGTCTGCTTTAGTTTGCGCAGGTATTCTACGGTCACCTCCAAGATGTCGGCCTTTTCGAATTTGGCATCGCCAGTTTGGGCCACACACTCGGCCATCAGATCCTTGAGATCATCCAGGCACTTGTTGATGCGTGCGCGACGCTTGCGCTCCAGCAGCGGCTTCATCACCTTGCGGTACTGATAAGTCTTTGATTGTTCGTATTTGGTGGCCATGTTGTGTTGCGTTGTGTGGCGATGTATGTGTATGTAAGAAGAGCTGTACGATGTGTACTGCACGACGATTGCGTTGAGAATGCTGCTGCCGTCTCCAGTTACCGCTGCTTTTATAGCTGCACGTGCCGACGTCGCCATCGACGTCGACGTCAACTGCGTCTCGTGCTCAGCGCACGCACCCAGAGAGCCAGCAGCAGAGAGCACCACCTGACGAGCAAATTACTCAGTCATTCGGTTCGGTTCGGCTCGGCTCGGTTCGTGCCTGCATCTGGGTTACCAGCTCTCGTTGCGTTTGCGTCTGCGCCTTGCAGCGATCCTCGTCTGCTGGTGGTTGGTTTTTCTCTTGTTGGCTCGGCAAACAAGTTTGTTGTGTCTTGGCAGGGGATGAAACTGATGGTGCGTCTGTGTGTTGGTGGTGTCGGTGGTGATGGTGGTGGTTGTTGCACATGTTCGGCATGTTGTTGTTGCCGCCGCTTTTAGCTCTTCTCTGTTTTCTTTTACATTGACGTTCGAATCGTGGGAAACACTTTGCCCTCAAGTTTCCCACAAGATTTTTCTCGCTCGTTGGTGTTATAAGTTATAATCGGTCGGTCCTATAGGGTGAGCGAGTGAGAGACAACGAGTGCGTGTGAGAGAGAGAGGGCGCTACCTACAGAGTCTTCGATTTGAGCCCTTATGCACATTGCACAGTGGGCAAAACACATGCGGAAATCTTGTACAAAGCTGAATTGAACGAACGCATTGGATTTTCCACTACATGTTTCTTCTACTTGATGTGAGAAATTTTGCAGTTTGCCTGAAAATCTGTTGTGGAATTTACGTGGCATGTCCTTTACTTGATATGGCTAGTTTCAGGGTTTTTGGGTGCTGACTGTGCGTGGGAATGAAGTCTTAAAAGTTTTCACGAAAGTAAGGTGCTGTAAGGTAGAAAACTTAAGATCTGTTGTGGAATAAACGTAGCATGTTTTGTACTTGATGCGCTTAGTTTCAGATATTCCGTGGGAAGGAAGTTTTGGAAATATTGCAAGTAGTAAAGTGAAGCTACAAGGTTGAATTTCAAATGGACACCGCCTAGGGATTTTCGGACTAATGTGGTGTGAACAGATTTTGAAGCTAATTTACAGGTTTGGTCGATCAGCGTGGGAACTAAAATAAATAGGAAATTATGGTAAAAGACAAAGCCATGACTGAGATTTTGTATATATTATTATTTTAAATTACTAAAATATTTGGGATATATTATAAAGTAGTATCAAATTAAAAATTTGTCTTTATATATTTATTTAAAATTAGTTTTTAATTACTTCAAATAAAATTTATTTCAATTACACTTTTTATGCACTTGCCCCACTGTAAATCTGACCGTGCCCAAGATCGACTCATGGCGAGCGGTGTGGACAGTACCACCGAAAAAACTACCACCTGCCTTTTATTTTTTTTGTTGCCAGACGTGGCCCAGAGGTTCTTCTCTTTGCAGTTGTTGCTGTCTCCGTTGTTGCTGTTGCTGTTGCTGTTGTTGTTCTTGTTGTCAATTATGAATGCTGAATTGTAGCTTCTGTTGAACACTTGGGCCACGCTAAGTGGCATGCCTGGGCACGTCGTGGGACCGGGCAACCAGGAATCCGGTAACGAGCATGTAGGGACGCTGTGCGGGGCATGCAAACTAAATGACTGTACGGCAAATTGACACACACTAAAGATTAAATGTATCGCATTCGTTAACTATATAAACAATATACGTGGCCAGTTTGGCCACGGGCAGGAAGTGCGAGCAGCCGATCAAGGGCGAGAGCGAGCGCGAGGCAGTCGCATAGCGTGCTGGGGGTTGAGATGGCAGAGCATGATGATGTCGATGCCGTGCTGAGAGTGTGCTGAACAGCAAGCCGTTACAATCTTTTCGAGAGTGTGAGAACATTTTTTCAACTGCACATGGCGAACGGATCGACGGATCGACGACTCTTAACAGGGGCACATTTAGGCATGCAACGGGCTTGGGGGTTGCTCGGCTTATTGTCAATGCAACGCTCTTGTCATCATTGTGGCTATTCATGTTGTTCGTGTTGATGTTATTGCTGCTGTGGCTGTGTAATTGAATATGTGCGCATGCTTGGACCGCGTAATAACGCGCGACTGACACACGCAAAATGTCAGGCTGGAAGTTTGCGCAAAGAGGGCGCGCAGGCGTCAAAAGGGTTGCGAATCTAGCGTGATTGAAATTTGGATAAAACTTTTTCTGAATTCAATTATAACTTAACCTTGATAGAGCCCAAGTCATTTAGAAGTTTACTATAATCAAAATTAATTATTTCATTTGTAAGGAACGATATAAAACTGGGCAAATTATAAAAATAAAAATATTTACATATAACATATTACTCTAATTAAAAAAAATTAAAATATTGATATAATATAAATCTTATCATACAAGAACTTCCATTCATTGTTGACATTGAAAGGAAAAATTAATTTTCTTTCGTATATCAACTTAATATTGGTAAGAAATAAAATTATACATCTAAATATAAATAAACTTTTTTTTTAATTGTTCAATTTAGCAATTGATTTAATAGTATACAATTTAGTACATATGTTATGTATATGTGAATGTGGAATCCTGATCCAGAAGCGAGTCTAAAGTTGGTAATTGCTTTATACCGCGAACCCAATAACAAATAAAACAATTTAATGTGGTTGTCCCTTTTAATCGGATCCATTGCATAGAAACACGAAATGTGTTTTATATAGACATAATTCTAATACTAAATAAGCAAACACAAATACAATTTTGATTTACTTTTCAAGTCATTTTATTATTAACTTAAGGTCTAGAAACATTTATACTATTGGCACTACGAACTAGAGTCTGATCGACACTGAGCATATGGCATTATATATATCACAAGTTATTTAAAGTTGGCATATTGTGGATATTAAGATTTGGAATTAACAGCTTGGCCTGGGGGGGCAAAGTTGACGTTGCTGCTGCTGATGGCTGACTGCCTGGCTGACAACTTGTTTATCATTTGCTCAGGTGTTGCATGCAACTTGTTGCGCATGCTGAGACATGAATTGAGCTGACTCGATGGATGGCTTCATTGAAGAAGTGTTTTCATTCATACATTTGACCGCTTCTAACTACCGGTTTGTTGTTGTTGCTGTTGCTGTTGCTGTTGGTGCTTCTGCTGCTGCTGTTGTTGCTACTGTGCATGCCAATAAAAGCTGCCGTCTGCGGTTTCCAAGCAGAAGAGCAATTGATGTGTTGCATTTGTTGTCTCCTGCAGCATGCGTTCGTTGGCCTGATTCTGCGCTATCTCCTCCAGACTGTCATAACGCTGGCAATGGTTGATGTTGCTGCTGCTGTTGTGGCCGCTGTTGCACTTGCGCCGCTGCAGCATTTTGGCAATTAGATTCTTTACTTTGGACATATTTGAGTTTCAATTGATGTTTGCTTCTCGCGTTGCAAATTTGAACTGCGCTGCTGCATTAACAAGTGTCGCGCTTTTATAGCCCAGCATCCCGCCCAAAATTGAACCCACCACCCAGCGAACAAGTGCCACATGCGCAACACATGTGCTCAGCACGCGGCTGGCTGATGTTGCAAGTTTGCTGCTGAAGCTGCAAAGCAGCAACTGTGGCAACAACTGTGGCAGCAGCAGCCGCCCAACACTCGCCTGCCACGCTTTCAGCGCAGGCGAGGTGGAGAGCAAGCTCAACACGTGCAGGATAATCTTGTCAGTCGTCCGCACCCCTCATTGTCGAGGCTTCCTTTCCCTTATTTTTGTTGTCTCCTTTTTTACTTATTCAATATAACGAACGCACAAAATAAATATTGAGAGCGTCGAGCAGTTGTGGTTCCCATGGATAAGGTTCGATGGCCCTCGGTTTGGTTAGGGGAAAAATATCCCACGGTTCGAGTGGCAGCTGCTTGCAATTTAGGCCACAGCCCGTTTCGTGTTGCTCTTGCTGTTGTTGCTGTTGTTGTTGGCTTGGTGGTGGCTGTTGACTGGCTGACACATATTGCACTTGCTGCCTGGCGAAAGTCTCGCTCGACCTCTAAAGCCTGCTCGGACAAGTGTGCCCGCGTGTGCGTGTGTGGATGAGTGTATGCGTGTGTGTGTTGTTCGCATTGCCTAATTGGCACGAGTTCAATTATCAAATGCACACAAAAATTCAGAAACGCAAGTGCTACCTCCTGCGCCACATTTGCACCTGATTGATATTTGTGCGCTTGGCGCACTTCTAGAAAGCTCCTGGCCGCCGGCCAGAGTCGCGTGGCAGACGCACTTGCCGCGTGCTGTGCCCTGGCAGCAGCGGGAGTCGCCTGCGGGGCGTTGGGCGGTCACGTGGCCAGTCATATATTTGATTTGCTTGCCACTTGGACTGTGGCGCAAGGTGCAGCAACTCGGTTTTGTTTGATCGCCACTTGATTGAGATTTTATGGGCGTTTTTGTGGATTATATTTTGAGTGCTATTGCAGTCAGCTTTAATTAAAGCTGTGGCTGCGTGTGGCACGCGCCACATTTTGGGTGGTTGTATAGGAAATTGTTACTTAATTGCATGTGGTTTTTAAATGGTTGTTACCATAGACATCTAAGGCTCTCAGTGAGCAGCTGAAAGTGTCGCATGGTATTTACCTCACATAGACCATAGTTTGGGCCAAGTAGACTCAACTAATTAGAATCGTTAGCAGGTTTTGAGTATCCTAAGGTATTTCCCACGCAAATTTTTTTGACAATTGCCCACTTAACGTTCAACTAATTTCAAGTTGACTTTCTGAACAAATGACGCCTGGGAAAGTTCTTTTAATGCTAAAATAAATATGGGTAACTTTATAAATAGTCAAATAAGGCAAGCAATTAAATCTGAAGCAAGGCTTAACGTTAGTTCAACAATTAAAACATTGGACTAATTGCCAAAGAAACTACTTCCTTTAGGCATTCCTTAGTAAAGCGCGCCATTTGAAAGAGTAGTCGATCAATCAAAGAATATTACCAAAAACCTAATAAATAAGGAAGGTTTTTCATTCAAAATATATAATCAGAAAATTAAAGAAACATACAAATTTGTTGATTTATTTATGACGCTAATTTGTATGCAGAATAGATTCGTATTGAGATTTGCAAGCTAATGCAATTCCTATCCTATTTATGTTTTTAGTCACTTAATATTTTTTTAATTGAATTGATATAGAAGTATAGAATATTGTCACAGACTATCAACTATTATTTTCAATATTATCGGCTAGACTGGACTATATACATGCAGTTGATTCTCATTCGAACCACGATCCTCGTCCTTCGACACCTCACATGCTGCAGTTAATTATTATTGTATGAAGTTGTCTGTATTGTCTCCTAAACTAAAAATGCATTTCGAATTATATATAAATATAAATTCCTTTAAAAACTTTCTTTTATAAGACTTGTGTCTTGATTTATTTATAATTTGTAGTCTTATTATCTGAAATGAGATAAATAATTATATAGTTTGATATAATTCCATATCAAGTGGCTTTCAAGGTCCTACGTTTTATGCTTATGCATGCAACACTCTGAAATACATCTGATGGATTGCAAATCTTAAAGTTTTGCACCTGCTGTCAAATTGGTTCTGAGGCTTCTTTTGTCCATGTTCTGCGCGCACACATGACCCAATGCTCATCAAATCAAATCCTCAATTGACGGCCTATTGATGTTGGCCGACAGTAGCACGCTGTCTATAAAAAAATAAAACTCAATTCCAATCACGTCAACGGTAGCGCCAACTTTTCACCTTCAGCTTTGGCCAATCAACGACTGTTGCTGAAGCTGAAGCTGTGGCTCATAAACTCCTCTGCGGTTCAATTAGCGCATGTCGTAAAGTACAAATAACTATTGCGTACAATTCCGCAGAAACCTCGAGGCAGACTTTGAGGTATAATCATTAAGCTGAAGCCGAGTAGCCGACATCGCGACGACGATTTAAATTAAACAATCGACAATGACGACGACGTCGACGACGCCAGCAACAACATGATGACGACAAGAGTGAAAAACTAAAGTAAAGCAGTCAGTAATCAGTCAGTCAGACAATCAGACATTCAGACAGTCAGTCAGTCAGTCACTCAGTCAGTTAGGCAGTCAAGTCGTCAGGGCAGCCACACGACGCTGATAATACGCGTCGCGCCGGCGCAATAAATGTGTGCCGTCAACAGTCGAGGCCCTCTAGTTGTTATTGTTGTTGCTGTTGATGTTGCTGCTGCTGCTGCTGTTTGTAATCGTAACCATATAAGCGACTTAAATGGCAGGTGTGCACATCGCGTGGGAAACACACGACGTTACTCGAGCGGTTCTCACGATATGAAAATCGAGCAAGCGACGCACAAGTGAACGACGGACGACGGACGACTGACGGGCTGCCGAGCTGCGGGTGCCACTTTCCGCAATGGAGCTCTACCTACCTTCATACTCACCCTTCTTATAAGCATGCATCCTAATTGGAGCTCAACAGATTGCTGTAGTAGCAAACCCAGCCAGAGTGTAATTATAAAATATTGTATTTTTATTGGAATGGGACTTTGTGAGCGGTAATTGGATTAGCTGTTTGTAGACTTTTCGAAAGGATACCTGATTTAGCTTTAATGGACTATGAATATAAAAATATATAATTTCTTTACATGTAAAAGGGTAGATTAAGTAATTATATTAACATTAAATATATATGCCTGATCACAATATAGAAATATAAAGTATAGATTAATTTACCTTAAGCATTCGTAGCTAAAATTTCAGATGATGCATTTATCATTTTTGAAAAATATTTCAGAGTGAAAAAAACTAATTAATTGGAATAACAAACTACTATATTGTATATATTGGTGTATAAAAACTAGTGAATAACAAACAATCTACTCAAATAGATTAGTCCAATTAGAGGACCACAAATTTGAAATATACAAATATTGAGTTGAAATTGTATATTTCTCTATATTTAAAACTAAAATTAAATTAAAATCAGAGACTAGCCGAGCCTCCAGGATCGCAGCTTTAAACGTATTTGCTTTAGTTTATATGGCTTAGCGATGCTGAGAGTTTGAACTAGAGTAACGATGCTCTTACAACTCTAATGATATTATGTATATGATATATTATTAATCTAACGTTTTGAACTTCAACTAACTAAAGTAGTATCTCTAATTAATAAACTGCTTTACATAATAAAGTCACTCTTCATTTCATAATGCTCTATATTTCAAACTAATTCGAATTCAAGTCAAGTCGGTACAGCCAAGCCTTGTGTATATTTTTGTTGTACGCAGGATGTAGCCATAAAACCACAGCGAAGCCAGAACATTTATAACTTTTCATCAATTTTCCCTTTGGCTTGGCCAAGACAAATCATCACGGTCCAGTCAATTGTCTGGGCCCTCAGTCGGTTCTCCAGGTTCTTGGTCAGAATTTTACGGTTTAATTGCAGTTACAATGCGTCAGACACGCAACTAGACAATCGTCTTATAGTTATTGTTGCTGTGTAACTCAGTTTTTAGGGTCTAGCAACGATTTCCTTTCCCACGCAGTGAGCAAAGAGCGCAAGAGAGCGAGATTTCTAGATTTCTCTGCACGTCTGGCTACCTGCAGCAGGTCCTGGCTGCAGGATGCGTGCGCCTATAAAAGGCGACGCTGCGCTCGAGAAGAGCATCATTCACACAGCATCCTGCAAACCGTGCACAGCTCAAGCACTCAATTTGATCTCACAAACATGGCACCACAAACCGAAACCGCTTTCGTATCAAAGACCCAGCACTATCTGAAAGTGAAGAAGCCTCTGCTGGAGCGTCAGCGCAGGGCACGCATGAACAAGTGCCTGGACACGCTGAAGACACTTGTTGCTGAGTTCCAGGGCGACGATGCCATTCTTCGTCTGGACAAGGCCGAAATGCTCGAGGCAGCACTTGTCTTCATGCGCAAACAGCTCATCAAGCAACAGGCGCCCGTCCCACCTGTGCCCATGGACAGCTTCAAGAACGGCTACATGAATGCCGTCAGTGAAATCTCTCGTGTGATGGCCTGCACGCCAGCCATGAGCGTCGATGTGGGCAAAACGGTGATGACGCATTTGGGCATTGAGTTCCAGCGCATGCTGCAGGCCGATCAGCCACAACAACAACAGCAGCAGCAGCAAACCGAATTGGAATCCTCGCCAATCAGTCGTCCAGTTAGCCCCGCATCTTCTGGCTATCACAGCGATGCCGAGGAGTCTGACGCAGCAGCCAGTCCGCAATCACCCAGCAATCCCATGTGGCGCCCCTGGTAAACCACAGAAGATGTCAACTATCTACAACAACTACTACTACAACCATAACAACGAATCATGTCTTCCAATTGACTCGATGTAAACTGTGATAACAAGAGCTTTACATAGATCTAAGCCCTATCAACCTATAAGACAACAAGCTTTAATAGTTTTAAGAATATTTGTAAATATGTAGCAAGATTTTGTTTACTAACTTTAGACTATAAGAAAATATTACAAGCTTTAATAGTAATAAAAACTAAAACTTGAAAAAAAAACTTAAAAAGACTTTTTAATCTTTTAAATTTCACAAAATAATTCATACAATTTTTGAGATTTTAAAGAACTATCAAAAGTATATTTTTACTATTTGTCGATGGTTTACAGCTCTATATAAAAAACTATTAAAGATATGGAAAGCATAAATTGACGGGCAGCAAAACATTCATTACATAAAACCAATATTTAAACAAAAATAACAACAATAACAATATATGCTTTAAAAATGTGTAAAATCATGAATTAAAGTTATTTGTTAAAAAAAATAACACTGATATACAAGTTAAATTCTATGATTAATAAACAAAAAAAAACTGATTTTTAGAAGAGTTTTAAGCAAGTCTGTTTAAAATATAATATTCATTATTTTTTACTACAGCTCTTAACGATGATAGTTTGAAGGATTTTATTTACTTTTGTCGCTCAATATTTAGTTCTTATTGAGGTTACCTTAGACTGCCTCTACTATTTTCAGTAATATCATCTATTCTCTATCTTGAAGTGAAATGAAAGTACTTTGTACTTTGATTTGCCATTGTTTGAGAGGCTCATGCGTTGTGCGATTTGGCGCAACTGTACCTACTAAATATCTTATTTGTTCTTAACCTGTTGATGTTGCCTCACAATATTGACACTCTCCTTTGTCTGCGGCTGCTATCAAGATCAAACTGCCATATTTGCTATGGTGTGTGCTGCGTGCTCGACATTTACAATCTGAGCTGAAACCCAATATGAAAGTAAGATATCCTATCTAATGGGGGACAGCTCTTAAATTACTCGGCTTATCAGTATGCGTAACAGGACTCCGGCGTCTACAATTTTGTAATTAGTCTTGGAAGGATTAAATGGGACTAGACACGCTAACGATTTCAAAATTGGAAGATTTGTGCGTGCGTGTAGAATGATCGAGGCAAAAAGGGACGACAATTTCGATATCTTTTAATGAGTTTTCGTATTCTTTTTCGTTTTTGTTTTCGTTTTCGTTTTCGTTTTAATGGGGTCTTGGTTTTGTAGGTGCTTGTTTGTATACGTTGAAATGGCTCCCCTGAAACTTGTTCGGTAAGCCAAACGTGTCAACGCAACCAAACACCCCAGCTGCGAACGAGAAAGGGCGAGAGATTGAGCGACTGAGCAACTCGAGCTCCCTAGGGTCGCAAGTAGGAGGTCCTGACCCTTAAGCTGGCTTTATCTACATATTTATGTATGTGAAACCTTAGCTGCAACGATCAACGACGCCCCTGAGTGGTGAACCGAAAACGAGTCTGAGACCTGTCCACGCCTCGCCTGCTCAACGGGCTCATCAATATGCACGTGTTGCCATCGAATCTGCATAGGCCACTCGCTGTCTTGTGTGGTGCGAGCGATCTGTGTGGTGCTAGTGCTGTGCTGAGCGTGGTTTTTAGGGAGGGCGGCGACACTGAGTTAAACTGTAATTACAACCCCTTTTGTGCGCTGCACGTGCGTTGAGTGATGGGCGGACTAAAATTAAAAAGGAAAAAATGCTTCTACGGCAATTGCCCATTGATCCTGGTCCTAAACTAACAATGTCTGCATTCCAAGAACAGCCTGCATCTCACATACTAATTTGTAAACTAAAAGATAATTCAACATGTCGCGCTGTCTCGTGTCAAGTGCGCTGCCTCGTTCGTCTCTTGCATGTAATATGATGACAAAAAAAGGACCCCACATGTGTTTTTTCCCTTTATTTTCGTAGCGCATTTATGAGTGTGCCGCATGTGTGTGCTATGGTGTGTTATTTTATCATTACAAAACCGCCGTGTGGGTCGCTATTCAAATGTAGCTGCGATTTGTAGCTGTTGTTGTTTTAACTGCAGCGCACATGACTTTATCGCCTTGGTCTACGAAATGGTCTGTTTATGGGTGCCTTGGATGGCTTGGGTTCAATTGGAGTAGACGCGACTCAAGTGTGAGTCGGCTCTAGGGTTACATTCGGTTGAAATTTTCGCACGCCTCGTTTGATGTTCACGCTGACCAGCGAACTAGCGGAAATACCGTAACATCGACATAGTTAACACTGACAATGATTTGCTGGAAAATCCGAGTCCTGTAACTGGACCTGATTGCGGGCATTTCCCGGTTTGCTGCTATTGCTGCTGATGCTGCTGCTGGCACATGTGTGAAAATTTGCCGCTCACAAGTTATGCACGTACCTTAGCGATTCACATGGCCACTTGCTGCACATTGTATGGATAGTACATCAGCGAGACGTGTCAGTTGGCGACGCTGCAATTTTGAAACGGCGTCGTAACACCAAACATTCCGCAGCGCTTAAAACGAGGTCGTCACGTGTTCAAACAAGACGCTGCACGTTCTCATTCCCGAAAAACCAAGCCCAAAAACCCAATCACCATCCGAATCCCGATGCGTGTGTGTACGCACACACAACTGGGCCAGGAATCTAAACACTTGCAAACAATGGCCATCGGCGAGGGGTCAGGTTGTTGTTGATATACATAGACTTATTTTTTTTATTTTTCCAATTTTACTTTTTTTGTGTGCCACAGGTTTTTGTTTCGGGCTAATCTACAATTTTGGAACCTTAAATGATCGGCAACGATAAGAAATCAGTGCACGTGTTCATCGAGAGAGCAGGTCAAGAGATTTCGTTGGAAACGATTTTGGGCCAACAACAAGGCACCACGGTAGCCCGAATAACCGAAAACCGCCGCAGTGGTAGCTGCTATCTGTCTATCTCTGTAGTCTTGGGACCCCCAGCAGGGCTTTTCGTACGATCATTTATTTATTTTGTTATTTTTTTATATTTTTGGGTTTCTGGTCTGCCATAGAAATTTTTGGTGGCTATTCTATTGGATCGAATGGGCATGCACGTGGGCCATGAAATGGAAAACTAGGGGAATGAGTCAACCAAAATAGAGCCAAGGACGAAATACAATTGGAACAAACAAACGTGCATAACAATAATATGCTAGAATGATTCAACCAAAACATACAAGGCCCTAATTTATATTTCCATGAAATTCTCTGCTGTACACGTTCGTCAAACGTTACGAATTGGTCAGCTCTTTCCGTTTTTTCAAAGGATATATTCCTGGAATTATGCGACTTCTTTATGCAGTTGATCTTTTATACCACAAATAATTGTTGCAAAATCAAGTCTTCATTTGTAGATTGAGCGTTTGGCCTAAGAAAGTCATCATACAGCTTACTGAGAAGTTCAAATAACATAATTGCATAGGTTGAATAAGTGGTTGGAGACATATATAGTAGGTGTGATGATGAAGAGATCTCTCATAAATGTAATAATAATTATTGACATCTGAGCAACATTTATATAAGAGCTGATTGTATTGAAGACTTGGAAATAGTAATTTAAGTTTAAGTATTTTCTTTTGACACAAAATCTGATCGGCTTTTTGTAACTCTATACCATACACACTTTAGTCAGGTGGTCAGTCTTACTGGTGTTTAGGACTGCCTCCCACCTTGAAACCAGAAGTTATTCTTCACTAAACTTCATGGTAGAGCCTTTCCATGTGCTCTAGCTACTGTTCTCCGAGCTCCTGGGCCAATCTCCCACTGTTGCACCCGAAAACTCATAGATTCGTTTCCAAGCCTTTTTGCCTTGCACATTATTATAAATATTATTGTTATCATTATACATATAATAATAATAATTGTAATTTAGGTAATAATAATAGTAGTTCAAAAATTATAAATAATTCCATAGCTTAATTATTGATCATATAATGTGTATCATGTGTTTTCCCTTCTGCAACAATTTTATAAAAAAACACATCAAACGTGCTCAGCACAATATATTATTGAATATATATTATTGAAGAACATAGCTTATAAAAATGAAGTATATTTGCTTAAGAATATATTTAACTTTGTGAATATATTTCACTAGAATTATACGATTTTATAATTATGCATAAATATTTATGTTTTTATTATATGGCTATAAAAATGTTTTTTTTTTTTCTGTAAATTATTTATCAGAAATGAACGCATTTCAATAAAATACAGCCTTTTCACTTTACAATCCTTATTTAAAGACTGTGCAGACCTAAGCAGAGCTGTGTGAGCAGCAAACTTACTATAGAAACTGCAGACAACAGCAATTGTCACTTTCTTTCTTATCCGTTGACTATTTATTGCTTTGCTGGTCTAACAAATCCTTAGATTGTTGCCTTTACTTCTAATTAAACCTCAATAGCTGAGCTCAGCTCAAGTAAAAGATAAAGAAACACACACACAAATCAGCTCGACCAACTTCTAATAACAAAGCGCACCTTATAATCAAGGAGTACATCAATAGGACTACAGCAATCCCTAGGTACAAACATATTTGGAAACGAACTGTTAACGCCAGCCTACCACTTCTCACCAGGACAGTCGCTGCTTGAATCTTAATTTGTCTCCCTGTCTGTCTAATGTAAAAAATGAAAATAAAACAAACTATAGCTCCACACAAAATGAAGACCATAAAAAAGAAACCCAACGCACATGGGCTTCAAATATTTATAGTCAAGTCAAAGACAATCCATTAAGTACAGGATCGTCCCAGAAATCGTTCTCTGCCATCGTCGACGCCTCACGCGCCATCACGTGTCCAACTTGCGACCGAGCCGAGGTCCAAAAAGGACAACGCTTGAGCGAGTGAGTGTGCATGCTCTCGCTTAGCTCCTCCATGGAAGCACACAAAGTGCCCCTTAATAAGGCACAGGGACAGGCAGGGGTCGTCTGCTAATTGTGTGCCATCGAAATGAAATTAAAAGCAACTCCTTCGGCTTTCGAATGCCTGACACGTTTTTGGTTTAATTTTGTTCTCCTTTTTCCTTTTTCTTTTATGATCCTCCTTTTTTCTCGCTCGTTTCGGGCAACGCCTCGAGGCACACAAAAAAATTTATAAATTTCAAATTACAGCGCATTAAATGATCCCAGATCTCAGTCTGTCCAATGTGTTTGCCTATTCAACTAGTTGATCTGGGCCTCTGCTGTCAGGCCATTAATTGTTTGAGTCGTTCAAGCGTTGAAAATTGAAAATATTCTCCCACGTTTTGCGGGGGCAACCGCTGCACACGTGTTCAAGACCCGAAAAAAAGGGATTTCTATGCCAGCCAAAACGAGATAAGTGCATAAAGAGCTGCCAGCAACAGCAGCAACAACAACAACGATAACAACATATAAAAACCAAAAGTGATCAGCAAAAAGATTCGGTTTTGTTGTTGGAGTTGTTGTCTTCAATAGGCTCGAAAAAGGATCCTTCGAAAAACTGTGGGAACTGGTAGAAAGTCTCGCTTCTCACGATCCTGGCGCAGGATAAAATTGCTATACATCACTAGCAGGTGGGAGCGGAGCAGCACGACATGCCTTCACACTCCAACGCATGCAGGTTAATGGCGTGCAGGTCCGTCCCAACGGTCCGTTTCGAAACACACCTGCCGTTTTTTGAATGTATGTGTGTGCATCTGTGTGCTTGTGCGCTCAGGATTTTCTCGTTTACAGTGTTTTGTCTGTGCACGTATCCTTGTACTTTCCCACACTCGCTGAGTATCTGGTGTATCGTTCTGGCTGCTTGCCTCAACCCTCGTTGTCCCGACCTGCTGTCGGCTTGGGTTTCGTTTTTGGTCCTGTGCGGGTATAAAAGGCAGACATCTCAGAGGATCAGACATCATTCGAGGACTACGCTTCGTACAGTAAACAACTCAGCAACAGCTACATCTCAGCTAAACAGCAACACAACAAATTCAAAATGTGCCAGAACAAGAACATCATCAACAACAACATGAACACCAAGACCAACAAGAAGACCTACAGCGTGAAGAAGCTGCTGCAAAAGATCTTCAAGCAACAACAACAAGTCGAGGAGCAGCAGAACATGCAAAACACACACAAGGCCAACTCACTGGAGTCTCTGGAGTCCATTGAGAATAGCCGCAACGCCGATCTCGAGTCCATCGTCAACAAATCCTGCGCTGACTCTCTCGAATCCTATGAGAACGAGGCCAATGAGCGTCTCTCCGCCTCCTGCGAAATGGAGGACTACGAGCTCGAGCAATTGCCCACCGTGCCAGTACACTTTGTGCGCACCGCCCATGGCACCTTCTTCTGGACCGCCGCCTCCGATCTGCCCGCCGACAACGATCTCATCGAGCCACTCTACTGCAGCACAGCCAACGAGATCGCCGTCGCACAGTTCCAGGATCGCTGGGTGCAAGCCTAAACAACCAGCGCTTGGGCATCCCAGCACACGCAACAATGTCTTCCATTTTTGGGACCAGCGGTTCCAGCTTCCTGCTTTAAAGCGTCTTCTGTTAATTTTGTGCATCCAAAACAATCAAAATTAGCTGCAAGGCGCAACACTCAATCGAGCTTTACAAAATTGTGATAAATTTTAACTCATACTTTTACAAAAATATATATACAATTTAAAAGAAAAACTACCTTTTTCGTTCTCATTCCTAAATGACATTCAATTTTCAGCTATCCCTAACAAACAGAAAACTACTTAATAACCTTTGCATAACTGCAAACCATTGTTGACTAGCCCGGCTAATCCACTCTGTAACCGATCGATTGTTTGCTTTCGGGTCTACCTGAACCTGATTACCAAATCCCTACCGTGTCCCTATTAAGTCGGTCTTATTGTTTACGTCTTAACCTGCGTGCAGGTAAAAGGCAAAATGCAACAGCATCCCAAATTTAGGGGTTGTTTTTTCTCCGTCAGGTCTAACCAGTTTGTGGCCGTTACCTGCGGCTAATCAGAATTTAAACAAGGGATCGTTGATCGTGAAAGGAGACCAATTGGATTGGACAGTTATTTAATTATTTCAAGAAGAAGTGATGCAGAGTTGATTACATAAATGATTCAGACATTCACATTATGTATGTATTCAAATATATTTTGTATTCACATTCATATTATCTATGTCTGCTTGTGGGTATCTGTATCTACATCTATTTACAGTAGCTACAAGCTCTTAATTGCTTGTGTGAAGGCAACTTCAGATATGCTGATGTACTTGTTGCATGAAATGTGAAGAGATGTTCGACTGATAAAAGTAAAAGTCAGCACATGCATTTGACTCTGTGTGTGTGTGTGCCTGTGTGTGGCAGTAGATCACATTTGAAATGAGAGCACTGGAGGTGGAGATATGTGAAGATATGCTTGAATTCATTGAATGCACACTCAGCGCATATTTAATGTCCGTAGATAGGCAGCCACAAATTACAGTGTCTTTATGATCTACTGCTTTGATTGAATCTGATATGTAGATATAAACGCAGAGTTTGCTATTCGCAATTTTGTAGTATAATCTTTTCAATAATTATGTATTTATTCGCATTAAATATTGTGTGATTGCTTTACATAAACAACCTTGTGGGAGGGCTGTGGTGTATAGTCTGTTTCACAGAGATCAACTCGAGTTCGGTTCTTGAAAATGTATAGGACTTGCTCTTTTGTAAGTAAGATAAGAACAGATAACTGCCTTGGCCTGGGCTGAATGAAATGAGAGATGGCTTAAGGAAATAAAAGTGAAGTCATACAGTTCCAATCTGCGAATCAATAACTAAAAGTGTTCAGAAATTAAAGAATGAATGCTTAAAGTATTTTTGCTATTATATAAAAAATGGAAATTTCATTTTTGATATTAACTAATTTACTAACTGCCTAAACTAATATATCTGTTGATTTTCAAGCAAAATGTTCCATAGTTCGAGCTCTGTATATGTATTTCTACGTATGCATTTAAACGGGTTAGAGATCCTCCATCAATGCCTTTAGGCTGATATAATCCAACTCAACTGTAGGACTTCTTACTCTTACTTCTATGCCTTAATTAATTATGAAGTTTATTATATTATGTTATTACTCTAATCTGATATATTTCTGACACAATATTGCGAAATACTTCACTACGGCAGCTAAGCAAACCCCTCCAATTGGCATCGAATTGGATCGCACCTGCCCTTTGTTTCTATTAAAAACATAACTGTTTCTTGTTTGTTTGACATGAGAACTGTTTGTTTATTCATATTTAAATCCTAAATTAACATTTATAAATTATTTAAAGCTTAGTATATTTTTATTTTTATAAGATGCCTTTACTTATAAACAACGCACACTTTAAACGCTAGGAAACTTTAGCAAAAATTATTAGGAGGTTGGCGCATTCCAGGTGAGTTGAAAGGCCACGTACTTTAGTTATATCACAGTTGAAATGCAAAAATTTACAGTTATTATTAAAATAAACTTAAAAGTATTTAAAAACAATGCACAGTGCAACGAAATCAATGCGATTCGTTGCCACAATTTGCTTTGGAAGACAACAGATTTTGCTGCGGTTGTTGCTGCTGCTGATAATGGCTGCAGCGAACGGTTAATAGCCATTTGGAATACTTAAGATAAGATCTAGAAATTAGATGATGTCGCCAGGCAGACAGGCAGCCAGTTGATTACCAGGGCCGCCAGACGGGCTCCGAGGCGCCCGACTCCTGCGAGCTAATCGACGCTGTTTCGGAGAGCGCTGTGCCATCCACGGATGTCACATCGATCAGCTCGTCCTTGCCCGCCAGAAAGGCGCTGTAGCTGGCTGCGGCTGCGGCGCCGTACCCGCCCAGCAGCGGAAAGGCCAAGCGTCCTGTGGCATGAGAGACAGATTGCTGTTGTTGCTGCTGTTGTTGTTGTTGCTGTTGCAGCAGTTGAGTTTGCAGCTCAATTAGGCGCGTCGATAGAAACTTCATAATCTTGCGGCCAATCTCATCAGTTTGCTGCGTCTGCAACAGCACTTGTGTAATCTGATCGGCAGCATGCACATAGCCCGAGCGAAAGGACTCGACGTGGGCGGCGCTGGTGCTGGAGGCGGCCACATTTCCAGCGCTCGCAGCACTGCCGACGGCCTGCAGCGTGAGCCCGCCACGTTGCTTCAGCTTGCGCATGTGATCCACAGTTAGCTCGAGTATGTCGGCCTTCTCGAGGCGCGTAACATGCTCGCCCTCTTGCTGCAGGCACTCCACCATCAAATCCTTGAGATCGTCCAGGCACTTGTTGATTCGCGCACGTCGTTTGCGTTCCAACAACGGTTTCATCACCTTGCGGTACTGATACGTCTTGGACATCTCCATGACCATGTTGTGATTCGAATCACGTTTCACTATTTTCTATTAGTTTTTTTTTATTTTTATTTTTGGCTTGAACCGAACTAGACGCACATATTCACGTCGATATCGTATTTTCTTTGGGGGGCGGTTGCGCGTGCGTCGCTCTTAGCGTTCCGTTCAACAGGCGGCACGTTTATGAAATGAGTGGCAAACAAGTTCCCAACCTTACTTTTATACGACGCTCTCCCAGCGCAGCGACTGGGCCGCAGCTCCCGCATGATCGCTCACACACGCACACATGCGCGGAGCTGTGGTGGCATTCGGGCTCGTTCGGTCTCGGCTCGGTAGCGGCACTCGGCATCGTGCACAAAGAGAGGCTACTGTAAAGTCCGTTGCAGGCACAGGTTGGGGTTGGGGTTGCCAAGCTGCACAGTGAGTCGTCCCTGTATAAATACTTGTTGTAACATTTTGTGTGGGTTAGCTAATGAAATGCACAAATATTGATTTCACTTTCTTCAACAATATTATAATTATTTGGTTTCCTTTTAATTATTTTTCTTGCTTCAAATAAAGAACACAAGAATTTCCGAATATAATTTTATGTGGCTAAATTGTCAACTGCGCTGCTGCCTACTTTTGAGAGAAAAAAATATCGGATATATTAACACAGATCAAAGTAGAATTTGGGCTACTTTTAAATTGATAATAACATATATAGACTGTAATATACACTATATTTATATGTTTACATTATACTATATAGATATAGACATATAGAATGCGCATATATTCATAATGCACATTTCATATTTTTGTGATCCTTAAAGTATGCTGCAAATATCCTGTCGAATCTGATTTTAAAAAACATAAAGCAGATCTATATCAGATATGATTAATAACAATATAAAATGTAGCTTGGCATTGCTTATTTATATATATTTTTGTCATAATAATTAACATGTTTTTGTCCCTAGGGCAATGTAACTCTTTCGATAGTCTGACAATGACTTAAGATGCCAATCTGAGCCCCAATAGATTAGCTCAAATATAAGTTTATATTTATTTATATCATTTTGATACGATTTCATATATTTATATTTATTACATTGGGCCCACTGTGCGCTCTTTGGCATATTATTGCGACAGTTTACGTAGCAGAGCAACTCGCAAAACACTGTTGATCCGCTGCATTGGCTGAGCGTGAGCGAGAGAGCGTGCCCTGTTGCGCTCTGGCGCGCGTCGTCTTCAAAAATTGATTGCCGAGTGAGGCGTCGCAGTAGGGGCTTTCGGATTTCGGATTTGGAATGAGAGTGGCTCTGCGCGTGGCTCTCTGTGTGCCTCCGCTGTCATCGTCGCCGTCGCCGTCGCCGTCGCTGTTGCCATCGTCCATGTCATACTTATTGTCAATGATGACAGTTGCGCTGCTGCTTCAACGGCGGCTCCTATTCGTCGTCTGTGGCTCTTTGGCTCTTTGGTGCTCTCACTCACACTCACACACACGCACATATACAGGCAGACATGCATATGCACAAATGGGAGCCTACTGCGAGTGTGTGTTGTGTTGTGCCTACTTTACGAGACCGTGGGAAACAGATTTGTCGTGTGTTTCCCACACGTTGGACGGATGGCTGGATTGTGATGCGATCCGATGGATTGCTGAAATGTTTTGCTGCCTGTTGTTGTTGCTGCTGCTGCTGTTACTGTTGCTGTTGCTGCTGCTGATGATTGCTGTTGTTGTTGTCGCTTGTTTGGGGGGCTTTAACTCGCGCAATTATGTCGCATGCTTGGCTGATGATGATGACTGCGACAACTACGACTACAAAACTATAACAACAACATTAAGTGGCTAGCATTTCGTTGAAGCGTATCGATTAAGCGTAGCAGTCTCCAGCCTTTCTTCCAGCTTCTCGGGAGTACCCGAAAAACTTTTGCATAGCTAAATGTTGTCGCCGTCAACGTTCAGCGTAATAAACTTCAACATCCGGTTGTCGTTCTAAGATGATGTTTTATTTCATCTTTTCGCTGATCTCGGCTACAGCTACTGGGCAGCTGGACAACTGCCAGCTCTTAAGGGGCACACACATACACACACTATGTGTATAAAATGTTGCCTGTTTTTTATTTATCACCAGCACAGCAATATGACACTTGTGCTTTTCCTCTTTTTTTTGCCGGCCCAAGCAGTTCCCATGATGCTGCAGAATCTCTGGTTTGTTTGTTTGTCTTTTGGCCATGACTTCCGTTAGCCGTTGCTTGCTTAGCTGCTGGCCTGGCCTTTTTCTGCTGACTTCGAACTGAGGCTACAATAATAACGGCTTCAGCAATGACAATTACAACAATAACAACAGCTTCAGATTACAAGCGGACTTAACTTTCAACTTTGTTGTCACACGTGTCGTATGAGTAACGCAGTTGCATCCACACACAAGGCGCATGCAAAAGCAAACATACATACATAAGCACACACACACAGAAATAGTGAATCGCAGCAGCCACAAGCCACAACCAAAAACCATTTTCAACTAACCTCAATGCACACTAATTGCTTGTCATATATATATTTTTAAGCTTTGCGCTAACTTTGCGCAAAACTCGTTGCCACGCTGCCTCGCTGCCCGCTTGGTCGCCTGCCGTGTGAACCAAAAGCCAAAAGCCAAATGGATGCTTGTGGCTAAAAGAGGGGAAATTGCAGAAACCTTAAGTCGAAGCTTAAATTCTCTGCAAAAATTATTTTAATTTCTTACTAAATATATTTATATCTTGGCAACTCATAAAAATTCCGGAACAATAAAAAGTTTTTTAAAAACAATTTGTTAAGTATTATAATATTTTATTTTATAAGACCACAAAATAGCTTCAAATACCAATCATACGATCATAAATTCTGAAAAATCCTTGTAAATGCCTTATCAGTCAGACATCGTATCATTTTACTGAAAAGTCATTATCTATGTTCTTCTAGACTTACAAATCGTCATTTACAATATTATGTACAAGCTATTCAATATCATTTTGTCTGATATTATTTTTTCACAGAAAGCTTTTAGTCAAATTAAAACTATGGAGTGTTTCGTACAAAAGCTTACTTACACATGTGGAGATAAAAGCTTTTCCTAGCATTTTATATATTCAGCAATAAAGTTCGTAGAAAACAGAAGCTTTATTGAGCTAAAAGTAAAGTTTATTAAAAGCTTAAAGCTTTGACTTGATAAAGGTTGCAACTATTATTAAAAACAAGTGCATTATTTTATTATTTATTTAAAACAGATTTCCTCTCAGTGGCCTTCAAGTCTTTTACATTATTCATTACATTATATATGTATATATTAGATATAAATATTATAATCCATAATCAAGTAATATTGTCAAAGAAAGAGTATTGAATAGCAAAGACACCAACTTGGCGTTCGACTATCCCATCTACCAATAAGGCGTTAAGGCAGGCGCATGCGCAGCTCGTTGAGACTTGCAGTTGGAATTGAAGCTGGCAGCGTTGCTTAGTTGATGTAGTAGTTGTAGTCGCAGTCGCAGTCGTAGATAGAGTCGGAGTCAAAGTCGCTTTCAATTTAGCAAACGTGCAGTTCAAAGCTAGGCGCTGATTGGGGGCAAATGTGCGGGGCAACGATGCCATCGTCGTCGTCGCCAGCGTCGACGTGCTGCGGAGAGTTCAAGATTAATGGCGGCCAAAGCGTTGGAGACGGTGGCTCACAAGCTGCAGGCGTGCGGTGTACACGCGATTGGCACGAGTTTGTTGCAGTCGGCCCCCGGCCAGGCAGCCAGGCAGCCAGGCAGCCAGCAAGCTGGCCAGGCTCTGTTTTCGATCTGACCGGGCCGACTAGTTTTTCGAGACTAGCCGTTGTGTGGGAAAGAGCTAAAGGACTGCGGACTGAAATCAGGTCACGGCCTCATTAGATCTGCCTTTGTGCGGAGCGTGTGAACAACATGTCATAATCCCCTTGGCTAGGATCGAAGACGAACGTAAAATGAACTTATCAGCGCCGGGGCTCAGAGCCTTGATTATAAATGACAACAAACAGGCGAACAAGTAGCAATAACAGCTGCTCTCGACAACATCAACAGCAGCAGCAGCAGCAGCACCAGCACCAGAAGCAACAACAAAACACCAAAAAATCACAAAGAAGGAAACAAAAATAACAACAACAACAATAGTGCCCGAAAACCCAAAAACCCGAACAACCCAAGTGAAATTCTTATAAGCCCTTTCCCACACTCGCAACGGTGCGCCGCCTGCGCCAGGACGGAAATGCACAGCGTCTTAGTTTACAGGGGCCACAAAGGAACAGGTGCAGCTGCTGCCCCCAGTGAGCGCTGAGCCAGCGAAACGGCTACGTCACTGCGCCCAAGCGGCTTCAGCTGGACAAGCAGCAGTAAACCAGCAACAACTACTGGGCCCTGGCTCTGGCTCTGGCTCTGGCTCTGGCTGCGGCTTCGGGTACCGTGTGAATGTGAAAACAAAGTCAGTCGTGCATAAATGACGGAACAGGCCGTGCACAGTGGTACCACAGCAATACGCTGCGAGCCAATAAGTGCATATGAGCAAGAAACGGGAGTTGACTTTGTTATCAAATATATATTCAATAAATTAAATTAATCTTAACAAAAATATATATTTGACAGATTTTATTTTGAAAAGAGTTAATTGAATTTCTTAAAAAAGATAATTATTAATTAATCTCCCCATACAATCAAAACATGTTTTCCACTTGATTTACCATTGTGGCAATAAATACATTTATGCATTTATAAATTGTTCTATTGATTTGCTCTTTCGCTTATTAAGAAAGGAAGCAGGCAGGTATTTTAAAAGTTTATGCTTATTTTTCTATTTTTATGATAATCAATTTAGCGAACAATAACTATTTGTGCACGTTAACTGAACATTTTGAATACGTTAAGGCGATTAGACTTAGCATCAGAACACTCCTAGTTAACAGTTTGTGAAATGTTCTCGGGCATTTTTATTATCAATTTGCATAAGTAGACTCATAAAAAATATTAGACCTATAAGACAACATTTAGATTCTCACAGCATTTGTGCACTATTGTAATCCAATCAGTTGTTTCCTATACAATATATCTGGCACCACTGTGCAAACGGCATCGTCTTCATCTACCTGCAGCCAAAACTCATCAAGCGGCCCTTGTCGATTGTACGTGCATGGGAAAAGTACACACAAGCTTGTGGATTCCTGTTGGAATTTATTTGGGAAATACGCGCACATAAAAAGCAGCTCCCTCTCCCTCATCGTCATCGATGAGAAGTGTCTGCATGTGTATGAGCCTCTGTCTATGTGTGTGTGTGCATGAGAGTGCACTCAAATTTCGTACGGTGCTCGGTGCTCGGTGCTTGGCCTGGGCTCGTGAGATCAGCCGGCATACGATTTCACTCTTGACTGGCCATTGGCAGCGCTGCGGCAGCGCCTCATATATAAATATGAGCGCCGGCTGGCGCAGCAGCATCAGAAAACGAACGACTCTCGCGAGGTGCGCACACGCAACAACTCGCTGCTGAACACAACTAACTTGAACGAGTCGAACAAAGCTTCCACAAAAGCTAACGCCATGTATCTGGATACGAAAAACCTGACAGCCAGCAGCAGCAACATAACAGCAACATCAGTTTTAATGGCGCCCAAAGCGGGGAGACGCATGCGCAAAGTGTGGCAGCCACTGCGACGCCTGTTGACAGTGGGCGGCAAGGGCAGGCCCACCTCTCAGCCACATCCCAACAATGTGGATCTCAATAATACGCAGCTCTTGCCACAGCTGGACTCTCTGCAAACTAATGACAACGCCAACGACAACGACAGCAGCAAAACAACGCCCGATGAGTCTATCAACAAGTTCGCCGACCTGACTTTACAGCAGGTGCATGAAGAGCTAACACAAACGCCACCGCCGCCCAATACGCCCACGCTGATCAGCAGCGTTTACGTGGAGAAGGCCAGCACACAGAGCTGCAATGCCTGCCACCATGGACGCAACTGTCAGCACACACATCACAACAGCAACAACATCAACACCAATAACCACAGCCTAAATGTAACCGCAGTGCCCCAGTTCACGCCCACGTCTGATGTCACGCCCACAGCCACATCTACGCTGTGGGATCTGCCTCTGCCGTTGCAGTACATTAGCACCGACAACGGCACCTTCTTCTGGGCCAACACACAGGAGCGTGTCGACGACGACCTGCTGCACGCCTGGCTCTGCCAAAGCTTTAGCCAATTGCCCGGCACGCTTTGCTAGACCCCGCTCCAACTCCAAACGTGTTCCCTATAACAGATCTCATTTTGGGTAACTCGTGACTGGACCTCGCCCCGAGTCAAAAAGCTCACAGACAGTCGAGGTCCAGGACTGTGTATCCCAAATTCTTATTAGTTATTTGTTCACACAATTATTTATTTTCTTACGCAATATTTACTTTGTCAATGTGATATCAATTTGCAAATAAATGAAAAACTATTGAAAACTACTCGAAATATTGACTTCCTAGAGAAAATGCTTGAATCAAAATATCTATTAATATTAGTTGTTTATATTTTTGTTACGGCTAATTGGCATTCGTCAGTAGAAGATATATGGAAACACTTATCTAAAATATGCGAGCCTATGAATAATATGTAATTATTAAATATTTTATTTATGTGTATATTGAGCTGTGTTTTAAATAGATTCGAATGCAGCTTATTTTGATTTCAATTTTAATTTAAGCTTTTATACCAAATGATAAATTTTTATGTAATTAAAGTATATACAATAATTACTTAACCATGTTTGACTTTTCTACGTAAATTATGGCATAAATTGTTGAGATTTTAACTAATTATTACAATTATATGGAGCTCATGAAAAATCATCAAAACTTTTTCTTACAAATTCAATATTGGATTTGCAACCAAAACTTGCACAGAAATTGTCAAGCTTCATTTGGATGAGCCCTAATAGTAATATATAACTATTAAGTTTTAAATACAAAAATCAAGTTTATACAGCAATTTAAAGCATGTTCATTAGCTAAGTAAAAAAAACTTTTGGGTTTGTCATAATGAAATTTTGATAAACGCTAAGTTAAGCTGTGAATGGAAACTTGCAGGTTAAGAGAGACGTTTTGAGTTTCACCAAAAGTCTTCATGCTTCAGCAGGAGTATATAGTAAATAAGGTAACAAAGAATTTTATTAGTTGTTCTGATTAGATAAGGCATAAGAGTAAAGGTGGGTGATATTTGTATTCAGTATATCATTTAATGTGCTGCAGTTGAATTAGCCAAAAAATATGCGATTCAAATAATTCTCCGATAGTCAATATATTTTTCATTAAGAGTCAATTGAGTAGAGGATTTTTATTCCTGTTTAATTTTCAAAGTTAACAAGTCTCTGATTGCAGAACGTGCAGAAGCTTTGCGGGACTGACGCCGGTAGCCATGAGAGCGCAGTTGAAGATTTCTAAGGAGCAGTCGTTGGGCACGAGACCGCGGTACTCGCCATTGGACACGCACAGGGGCTTGTAAATCATGGGACAGGGCTTGAGGCAGCCTGCAACATCCAGCTTAACATTCAGTTGCTTGTCAAGATTCTCGACCTCCTTGGAGGTGCACCAGGCCATGTCAGTAGCAGCGTAGGCTGAACAGAGGAATATTAGAAATATGGAACAGCTATAGAACTGAATATAGAGCTATTAACTTACTCGTCTGGGCATTGCGTGCACGGCGACAGTTGCTGGCCTGCAGATTGCAAAAGCTGGCGAACTCCTTCATATTGAAGCCATCCGTTCCGCACACCGGCTGGTAGATGGCGGGGCACATTTGTGGGCAATCAGTCTCGTTGGTGGACACCGAATTGGCAGCTATGCAGGCGACAAGCGCCAGGCAGCAGCAGATCGACAAAACTTGCGAATTCATTGTTCAAACTTTTTTAGTTTCTTGGGAAAGTGTGTTGTAAATATTTATATATGTTTGTATATATTAATATTTATTTTCTTTTCGTTATATTTTCCCTTGTTGGTTTAGGTTGCGTGGACTACGTGTGCTGTTTGGTAGCTGTGGCTAACAATTGCTTTGACTGTTGGGAAACTCATTGATTTTTATATATATTGCTGCCACTTCAGCGGCAATTCAGTCGCTCTTATCAGCAGAGGGCTGATAAGGCAAATGTCTATCTAAAAATGCGACAAGCAATGAGTTTATTTTCGGTCTACAAAGTTCTGGCTCGTACCATGACCGAGGTGAGTAACAGTTTGTTATGGGCTAATTGACGGGCCCGTCTGCCTTGCGCCAACAGCTATTAGCCATCAATCGCTCGGCAATCAGTAAGAATCAACATCTTTATTGTTCTGTTGTCAGTTGGTATCTTGTTTATCACATCTGAACAACATTTTCGTATTATTTTTTTGGCGATAACTACGGGGAACCATTCGCCATAAATACATCGACTGAATGTTGCCAGTACAATTTATGCGATGTCATCAGCGGGTATTTGTTTACCAATTCTCCATCTTGAGAGTCTGTGTTATTTACGTAAACAAAGCACATTTTATTCGGAATAGATATAGTTACATACTTTCATTATTTCCCTTGAACTTCGTCGAAGTTGAAGTTTGAAAAACTTTTAGCTAATGAAAAGATAAGCACATATTTATTGCTCACAAATTATTTTTAAAAGCCGAAATGATGGTTCTAACATTCACAGAATAAAGTAAAAGTACAATCATCAACTACTTGACCTATAGTAGAGGATGCCTATCTATTACCTTTTAGAATCGGATCTCTCTCATCAAAAGTCGTTAAGTGTAGCTTAGTCTATAAATATCTAGGAGTTGCGTTTTGAAGCGGAAATGTATTGGAATCTATTTCAGCGGCTTGGCCATTTAATTGTGGCTCAGCACAGACGGTTTATCAAGGTTAAGCACAAGCCATGACCAATCACCAATAAATCTTGATTTGTTTTTTATTTGAACCCGTTTGGCAGCCCTCGTCTATAAAGCCGAGCGTCAATTAAAATATTTGTGTAGTCTTAAATTTGATGCTTAACATATTACCTACAAAAAAGAAAACCAAACAATATAGCAATCTATGTGCAGCTTCCACAGCCCGATGTGCTCAACCAGTTACGCACAAAAGTATGCTTTAAATAATTGGCAGCTGTGAAGGATTAAAATAAATAATAAAAGGGCGCTAAAAAATATTTCCAAATATTAAATAGAAAAGCTGAAAGCATAATATAACGAATTATATAATATACGCCAAAAGAAAAATAATTGAAAAATCTTTTATTCTTATCCTTTATCAATAGGAGTTTAGCTATAATATTTAATTATTAAGCTTTATATTTTTATTCATTATTATTATTAATTAATTATTTTTAGTTGCATATTCAGTATTTTTATTTACATTAACATATTTTTAGTATAAAGAATGCAATAATATTAATAAACATATATTTCACACATTTTTAGATAGATCTGTGCTGCATAATATTTTATATTTTTATATTTATATATATGTTTTTATAGTTATTAAAATGTATAAAAAAAATAATAATACATTAATTATACCTGTATATATTTTTTTAAAATTTATGCAAGTTCAATTCTGTAAAATGATATATAACTGTTTTTTGCCTATTTTCTTATTGAACATTTTACATTTATATAATGAACTTCAGTCACTTCGCTTAGATTTTTGTGTAGCTACATTTTGTGTATTCCGGCTGCCCACATTATCCCTCATCAATTTAATGGTAACATTGCAACGGGCTAATTTGTGGCCACAATCGCCACACACAAAGTGCTTAGACAAGAGCTAAAACAACAAAGACTCTGTCGCAGTCGCAGAGCTGGGCCTAATCACCGTTTAATGTGTTCACACACTTGTTGCTCGCGGCGCCCTTAGTTAACAGCCAGCTCGAGCTTAGGCATGGTCAAAGAACTCGCCAACAATGTTTTTACTGCTGCGGCGGTTGCTGTTGTTGCTGTTGGTGTTGGCCAATCAATGACCGCTAAGCGCATGCCGGTCACGCACGCGAAGGCCGCCGCTGAGTTGTCGCTGAGAATTGGGCACAGAGGCGTACATTAAACCGCAGTTCAGCAGGCTCAGTACACCTGTGCCAGGTCTACCCAGCACTCCAGTCGCCAAGACAGAGACGGAGACAAAGCGGCGCATAGTGGCCATACGACATATAGTGCCTACATGTATGCAAGTCTCTTTTTTCGTATTTGTAGCGCTCGCTTGTAAATGCAAATGAATAGAGGTAGCCGGGCACGAAGATCCCAATCGCAGCAGTGGCAATCATCATAAGCATTATCAACATCAACAACGGCATTCCATGATGGTTCTTTCTTCCAATTCTGTGCCGCTGCGCATACGAAATTAATTATGCGCTGTCGGGGCCAATTTACCAGAAACTTATTTAGCTACTTAATTTACGTCACGGCGCTACCAGAATTTTATTCAATTCTTGGATACTTTTTCAATTTTTTTCTTTTTTTTTATAAATTTTTTTGTGACATCAATTTGCATTTTTAGTGTAGGAGAAATGCGTTGGTGATTGATAGAGCGAAAGAGATGGCCATATACAGAGAGACGGGAACAGCAACAGAGTGTATGAGAACGATTATCTTTTGCGGTACTGTTTTTATGCCCAATTTCAACGTCCGCCTCGAAACGCCTTGGCATGTGAGCATTGCGTGTGTGTTGTGACTGTTTGCTATGACTGTGACTGGCCCGTGACTGGAAGGTGTTGACGTCTACATGTTGCATTTTAATTGTGGCTTTTGATATGGGTTTTTCCTATATACTACAAGTAGCAGCACCAGCACCAGTTCCTTCTCCTGTCGGTTTTTGTTTTCTTCTTTCTAGAAAAGCACATAAATAAGTTGTACGACACGCGGCGACAAGCCCGTGCAAGAAATTGCCGTGAAGTTATGCACACCATCGCCATATTTGGGCACGCAGGTGGCGGTGGCCTTAGCCAAGGCAAGTGACAACTGCAATAATATGATAGCATTGCAGCCGGAGTGGGAATATTTCATATTGGCTGACTGCCAACGGAGCCAATAGCCAAATGGAATTTATGTCATAAAATGCGCATAGAATCTGTAAAGGTTGTTCAAGGCAAGGCTGACTTATGTAAGACTACACTACGAAAAGTGTACAAAAGGAAATGTCTTGGGTCAACATCCAATTGAAAGTTTATGAATGCAAAAATGTAGAGAACGAGTGAGAGAAATGGAGAGAGAGAGAGAGAGAGAAAGATTCTGGAACATTAAACTTAACTAGTATAAGCTGTTGATATAATGGAACAAACATTCATCTGTCACAATTTTAAGAATGAGATGTTTAATTATCATATGAATGCTTAAAATGTTAAAATGTATATTATTCTAATCTAATACTTAAAATTCATTCCCAAACATTTCCTTTAATATATTCAAGTTCTAACTGCATTCATTATTTTCTTTTATTAGTATCGAACAATTACTACTTTTTCCTTCACTTTCTTTTACATTCAATAATTTTAATATTTTGTAAATTTAAAAAAAATTTTTTTCCTATTAGATAAACTTTTGATTTTGTATATAGCATCATTATAAACTTTCATTTTGGGAATATCTATCTTGCCCTTGCCCTGATTGATTACGTTGATTACTTTTAATCAATTTCAGCGGCATTTCAAAACACCGCCAAAAACAAAAATTTTCAAAAAAAAAGTCCCAGCTGGTACATCAAATTACTCAGCTGTAACAATTGCAGATAAAAGACTTTACAAACAGATTCATTGGCGTCACATAACTAAGAAAGCAAGCACAATATGTTTCGGAATGTCTCTAGAAAGAATGTGTCGCATCCAAAAATATAAACACATACATACATCTCTTATCTGTCACGTAGAGGAATGAAACATATTTTATGAGCAGAACACAAACAGAATCTCATGTCGTAAATATGTTGTAGCAGCTACTCAATAGCGTGGAATGCCAAACGTCACAACAATGCTCAAGATGAGTAAAGGATGTGCTGAAAATATTTTGAAGATCTGCTTAGATCATAAAACTGAAATGCTAAACCCAAATCCAACACCAAAACCAATTAGAAACCAAATGTAATTTAAGTTTTTATATCTTTTCTTGTATTTTGTAAAATATCTTTTTGTTTTTTCCTTTTTAAAGCTGTCATTTTCTATCACAATGTCTTAAGAACTAATGGAAGCGCTGGGATCGCTGAGTTGAGTTTGAGTTAAGATTAAGTACGATGCTGCCGCTGCTGCTGTCGCTGCTATCACAATGTTGCATGCATTTAAAGCTTGTTGATAATTGAGGCTTGGACGTGGAATACCAAATTTAAGCCTGGGCCCAACGATCCTGGTACTGCATGAACGGATGCTGTTGGCTGGAGTAGCAGTAAGCGGGCTGCAGCAGATCGGCATCGACGCTAGCAACTGGCTGCAGATTGGTCGTCCAGAAGAAGGTGCCGGCCTCGGTGCGAGCAAAGCGTACGGGCACATAGATGTCCTCCTCGCTGTCGAGCTCTTGCTCCTGCACCAGCTGAGCCAATTTCTCGTTGGCAGCATTCTCATCGATTTCGGCATAGTAGACCTCCTCGACCTCGGCATTGCGCAGATTGTCCACTGATTCAAGTGATTCCAGTGAGTTCTGGCGGCGCTGTTGTTGTTGTTTCTGCTGCTTCTTGAAGAACGTCTTCAAGACTTGCTTAATGCTGTAGCTGGTCTTCATTTTGTTGTTGTTGTTGTTGTCGTTATTGCTGATGGCGACTTGTTGGCACATTTTTGAATTTGAAATGGAAAAGCGAGTGTGTTTGTTGTGCTGTGTGTTGCTTGAAACGCTGACGATGTCAGAATGATTTCCCAACCGAAAGGCAACCGCTTTTATAGCTGTCTGAACGCTCCGCTTCGCACCGCTCAACGGCAGCGCAGCCAAACAAAATGCATTTCCTGTGGCCGCACACACAAGCAAAAGAAGGGAGAGAGCGAGAGAGAGAGGCACAGTTAAGGAAACGTAGAAAGACCCTCGACAGACACGCGTACGTGGTACGCACCTCACCCTCATTGAAAACGACCGTGGCGAGAGAGATAAGATGGTTAGCAGGTTAGCTGGTTAGCTGGTGAGCGAGCGAGAACCTGAAATTTGAAGCCGAGGCTCCGGTAAGGGCAGCGCAGTGCAGGTAGCCAGAGACGAGCCTGTTTTCCAGTGTGTAGGAAGTCGGGAATCGCGACTCGCTAAGGAAACGTAAATATACCCCCGATCTCAAAAGGACAGAGAAAGAGAACGAGAGAGGAAAAAATGCAACTGTTCGGCCATGCGAAGTGTGGGAAACAATTTTTCGGTACCCTAAAAATTTGGAAGGAAATGTATTCAAGTGGCTTTGGCTTCGAACCGAATAACAACAGGCAGGTGTTCCTTCATAAAATTTCTCACGACTCGAAGGAAGACAGGACACAGAGAACGAAGCCCAATATTTGTGCATGGGATCATCATACGGTTAAAAGGAGTGCAAATTGTTGTCCTAATGGGCAATCAACATAAATGACATATACCCTAGGGTATATCTGTGCCCGAATGAATAAGGAATATAAAATCTCAAGCCAGCATTCCCACGCATTGCCACAACATTCGTCCTGCGGTTCAGCTATATTTGTATGGGCATTTCAAATCACTTGTTTTCGATTTTCAACTTTCCCACACGGATTTTGTTTGTGGTGGAACTCGAACTTGAACTCGAACCCTGCAGCAATAAATGTGGCTGCCACTTGTCTTCGATTTCAATATCAATGCGCCCTTATTTGACGCTGACGCTCCCTTGTGATTTCTTACAGATATTTTAATTAATTTTCATTTTCCTTGGCGTGTTTGTTCTTGATCGACTTGATGCAGGGGGCCAAAAAGGGACTTCGTGCAGTGCGACCCAGCGAAGTGTGTGTGAAGCGCGCTGGCTGTTGTTTGGGATTAATGTTGCAATAGACGCATATCTTTGAGATACTTTTTTAATGACATTAGATAGCAAGCAGGGGGGATGGAAACTGGTCTCTGTTTATTTAGCGTTGCAGCTAATGGATTGAGTGTGTGTGAAATGCCTTTAAGACATGCTGACATTGTTTATCTCGGAAAAGAGTTGGGAGTTGGAGCGCCTGCATGTGTCATTTGCCTATCGGGAGGGCCGACCGAGGGGGATTGACAGCTTACACTTTAGCTCTTGGGGGTGCAGATGGCTGTAAGCCTTTTTATTATATAGTTGCGTCTTGTCTCAGACCCTGTGGTTATATGATATGTGCACTTGAGCAACTGAAGCCTCCAGCGGTCTGGAGATAATGGGCAACGTGCCAAGTGCTCGCATATGTGTGTATACAGACATACAGCGCAAACAGTGCATCATAAAAGCGAGCCACGGCAGCCATTCACGAATGAGCTGCCCGAAAGTTGTGGCCGTTTGCCGGGTCAGGCGGTGGGTCGGGGCTCGGTGGGGCGTGCCGGGTCTTTTATGTGATCTTAGCGAGTATGTGTTGGCATCTACAGCAGCCACAGACGCTGACGCAGCAGCCGCAGTCTCAGCCTCGCTTTGGCGGATGGCAAACTGGTTTCCGAGCTGAGCTACGACCATGGCTATAACTACACACACACACACGTAAGACACTCAACGGTTGGGGTATGACGAACAAATGTGTAAAGTATTAAAAAGACTAAAAAGAGACCTACAAAAAAAAAACAAAAGCGTCGACCGCATCCTAAACAGCGGCCAGCAACGACTCGCCAAACAGCAACAAAAACAACAATAACAACAACAACAACAACAACAGCATGGGGCAACAGCAGCGGCAGCGGCAACGAGCCAGCCCCAACCAATCTTTTCAAGTTGATCCCCATCAAGATATTATTTGACAGCAATGAAACGACTGGCACGAGTTTGTTTCCCACGGTCTGGCACTGCGCATGTGTGTGTGGCTTGTCGAGTATCTGTGAGTGCCATTGCATGCCCCCACAGCTCCGCAGTGCCTTTTGTCGGTATGGATGGGTTGCCCCTGTCTCTGTGTGGGTTGCTGGCGGCGTTATGGAGCTGTCGGTGCGGGGGGGGAGCGAGCACATTGCTGACGCTGCTCGCTCTGGCTGTGGCTGTGGCTCTGGCTCTGGCTGTGGCTGCTTTTCGCGGCGCAATAAAGTTGAAAGCGCACTGTTGGATATAAATTAATTCAACAACACGCTATAGTTGTTGTTGTTGTTGCTGCTGCTCGGCTTGGTCTCTGGGCTTGGGCCTGTGCCTGTGCACGCTCTCGTGCTGTTGTTGTTGCCCCAAAGTTGGTCGCCGGCGCAGCGGGGGCACTAAAATTCGCGCGTGCGTATGCCATCGATAAAAAAATAAAAATTGTTTTACAAAAATGAAAAAAAAAATGCTGAAAAAACGACCAAAGCGGGAGAAATGAGGTCTTCGTTGGGATTTTGCTGAGAATTGATGTGTGTGTGTGTGTGTGTGTGTGTGAGTTTGAGTGTGTGATGTGTGGTGTGGGTATTTAAGTTGGATTTAAACGACTGCGAGGAATGCGCTACGCTGGGCATATTGCGAGATCGTATGGGCACACAGTGCGTATGAGTTATGATAAATTTGCTTGGACTTTTGGACTGAACAGAATTAAAAAACACATGATCTCTCCTACGCCTAACTGTGACTGTTCAATTATGTTTAAAAATAAATAAATAGTAAACTTTAAACTAGAATGATGTAGGTTTTTAAAAGGAAAATCATGTCAATAATTATTATTTATTTATTATTATTTTCAATTTGTTTTAATAATAATATATCTGTACCACATATTAATATTATAAATAACTTGTTTATGTTTTTAATAATTTTTCAAGAAATTTGTTTTTGCTTAATTGTAATTGTTTTATTTTATTATTGTTGATTGATAATACTAAAATCAATTAAGATATTTCGTTTGGGGTTCCCATTAATAGTTATAAGCAAATTGATTTATGTATTAAAAAACGTATGATCATGATGAATCACACTTAATAAAAACTTGTATTTTTTCCACAAATATTATTAATAATTAAATGTAAAAAAAGGAGTTTAATTTCTATATGTTTTTTAGTTCTTATGCAACAAAAAGTTATATGATAGGCAGTTTCGTATATATATTGAATTTATTTTTTTGAGAATTCTGTGCTGTTTGTGATATATAAAATTGTTGCCTATGATCTCTATGATTGTTTATTAAATAAAAATTAATTTTTGTTGCATTCTATGAAACCCCGAGCCACGTAAATATCATATAAAATTATCTGGTCTTGCATATTATTAAATAAACACACAACTCTCTCATTCACTTCATTTAACGGCGTTCAAGGCAAGCAACCACCCTGAAATCAAACCCAATTACGACACCCCTATTCTTCTGTGCATAACTTGTGTTTTACAACACTAACAATCAGACGCACACTTTTCACTCTCAGTCCAATTAGCCATTTCCGGAGCAGGCAGCTTTTTGACAGCGACGAGCTCGCGCCTCATTTAACGGACCAACACAACAACAACAATAACAACAACAACAACGGCAGACGCTCAAAATGAAGATGAGGCTGTTAACATTTGTTAACTGTAGCTCATTTGAAATGCGTACAAAACGCCAACTTAATTTGTCTTATGCCCCGTTTCTAGTTTTTGTTGTTTGTTTTTATTTATTTATTTTGTATTTGTTGTTGTTGTTGTCGTTGTTGCTTGACGCTGATGATGCGCCACTTGTGTTGTCATATTGAATGTGATTTCGTCGGCTCGCCACTTCTAATTAAGTGTTGTGAAATTGGAGCTGTGTGTGTCAGCGATAGCTACAAATAGCTGAATTGGAGATATGATACACACAATCCATAATTGTGAGTTGTGAATGAATCACAGCTTAAAGCCGTGCTAAATATAAATATGTGCTAAAAAGTTCAAATCACTCGTGACGTGACAAAGCCTCAAACACCCCACGAGCCACATACTACAGCCCATAACAACAACATTTATAGCGTGTGCTAACAACAACAGCAGCAACAACAACAATAGCAAGCATCGAGTCCAAACTGACTTTCGCGCACACGTCGCATAAAATGCTTTGCCTCTTGCCCAGTCAAGCCGGTAATTGTCTACAAATGGTAGAAGTAGTCCGAGCCATAAGCCGTACCCAAGTCAAAAAATTCAAAATAAAATATACACACACACATACGTACACAGAGAGAGCGCAAGCAAACAGATCCCAAAGCCCGAGCAGTGGTCGTCGCAATGGGCAATCAAGAATAATCATGTAAACGAAAAGCGTAATGCTTGGCCCACGAAGCCCACGATCCCAATCAATGATCCATAAAGCGTTAAAAAAATACATACAACAAAAACAAAAACAAAAAGAAAAACAAAACAAAGCAACAGCAGCAACAACAAAACACTGCTGCGCGATGACGATTCCACAATTATCAGCGTGCCATAAGCTACTGCAAGGGTGAAGGCGAAGGCGAAGGCACATGGCAAGCCGAAGCCAAGACAAGACCCAAGACGAACCAGCACAACAGCACCAGCAACAGCGACAGCAGAGAGCTCTGCGCTCGAGTCCAAATACCCGGCCACATACAAATGAATTGAAATGCAAACATCTTGTTATGGATGGAAGGCATGTGCTCGCTTGGCTGCCGCTCTGCCACAGTCAGCTCTTAAGGCGGGCCGTCAGACCGGGCCAGACGGACAGCCAAAGACCCCAAGCATGCACAATCAGAAGAAGTCAGGCCAGGCTGCCAGCCGTCGTCGTGGAAATCGGCTGCGAAACAGTTTCCCACGGTATAACAATCACAACTCACACAACAGTGCGCACACACACACACAACACACGCGCGCGTATACACATGCACATGCATACAGCAAGATAGAGGCGCAGCCGCAGCTCAAGTCATTTTATTGCCCTCGCACACAAGCAAACAAGAGGGTGAGAGAGCGAGAGCGAGAGCGAGCGACGTTGGCTGAGCGCACACACAGCGCATACGTAAACAGAAGCCAGCAAGCAGCAGGCAGCAAGCATCAGGCGCAAGGGAGAAAGGAACTCAAAAGTTGGGTCGCGCACGAGGCAAAATGCGCGTCTCGCTCGCACTCGCTGCCGCAACGAAACGCGGCCCGAGCCTATAAAAGCACGACGCAAACAGCGAGCTGAATCATTCAAAGCTACGACTTTGCGGCGTATGCAACGTACTGCTGGCAACGCATAACAAAGTCAGAGAAAAAAGTACTCAAGACCAACTGTGGATTACGCGTGATATCGTTGAGCTAACCGTAGACAACATGGTGCTAGAAATGGAAATGTCCAAGACTTATCAGTATCGTAAGGTGATGAAGCCCATGCTGGAGCGCAAGCGTCGTGCGCGCATCAACAAGTGCCTGGACGAGCTGAAAGACATAATGGTGGAGTGCTTGACGCAAGAGGGCGAGCACATCACCCGCCTGGAGAAGGCCGACATTCTGGAGCTGACTGTGGAGCACATGAAGAAGCTGCGCGCCCAAAAGCAACTGCGACTGGGCAGCAGCTCGAATGCCAGCGTCGCCGGCGATTCCAAACTGAGTATTGCGGAAAGCTTCCGTGCCGGCTATGTGCATGCAGCTAATGAGGTGTCCAAGACTTTGGCTGCGGTTCCTGGCGTCAGCGTGGATCTGGGCACGCAGCTAATGAGTCATCTGGGACATCGACTGAACTACTTGCAAGTGGTGGTGCCAACGTTGCCCATAGGTGTCGCGGTGCCTCTGCAGACAAACGACGAGCTGAGTAGCAGCAGCAGTCCATCTCCAGCTCTGGTGACGCCACCACCCTCGGAATGCGGCAGCGCCAGCGGCAGTTGCAGCCCAGCGCCTAGCGAGGCCAGCACCAGCTCCAACAGCACCGGACCCATGTGGCGTCCATGGTGAACGCATTGCAGGCGGCTGCCTTTAAGCACAAGGCGTTGACCACTCACTCACCCACTCGGGACAGCTGTTCGCACAGGCGCGCTGGATTGGAAACCGTGCGCCGACAGTTCCACTGAAAAAATGCATCTATGAGCCACTCAGCTAGAGCCGACAACATGGCTAAAGAGTATCGCTACATTTTTTGTGTACCCAGAGTAAAGAAAACTCAAAAATAAATTTATACATATATTCATGAAAAAAAATACGAAATTTCTTTTCAATTTGGTCAATCTCAAGTTTCAGCAAATGATTGAATTTCATCAGAGGCGCCTGCGTCACTTTATGTTTTTTTTTTGTTCGGCACGATAAGCACAATCATCAATGAAGCCCTTCCGGAGGCGACAGGCATATAATGAGCTCCATAGAAATCCAAATCAAAACCGCAGCCGGAAGTCGCTAAATATTTTCCCACACTCGGGGCCTCTCCAGAGCCAGAGTTGGCCTCATTTAATGACGGTTCGTTCTCAGCTCTCTGATTCCGAGCCGACTTCATTCAGCTTAGCCGACGGGGCTTTTGCGCCGGCGCTGCTATGGCAATTAAATAATAAAAACAGCGTAGAGCAACAAAATAAGAAAAAACATATTTATTTTATATAAACATACGTTCATACGTCCATATCTATGTTTACATACATACATACATATGTGTGTATGTAGAGAACACCAACTAAATTCTAGGAAACGTCATTTATTACAAGTTTTCGAGTGTGAGAACCGCTCGAGTCGCCTGTCAATGGTTCGCATTGTGGTTGTTGTAGCTTTGACAGCTTTAACTGCGCTTGACCGTTTGGCACATGCGCCGGGGCCGCCAGCTGGACAGACGGACAGACGAACAGACCAGCAGACCAGCAGACATCGCAAATTAAGGTCCGCGACCGCGACCGGACCGAGCACTTAAAACTTTGTTATGTATCGGTATTGGTATTGGTATATGAGTAGCTATATACACTATTTATTTATGTATTGGTATGCGAGTGTGCGGTTTGGTTACGGAACTTCAAATTGAACGCTTTTGTGTCTGGTGTGGACAACTATGATGATGACTGCTACTCTCCACAGATGCTGATTGCTGCTAATCTTTGCCAAATGTGATTAGTCACGTAACATTGGCACAGCGACCTGCACAGCGCTTTTATTTTATTTTTGTACACAGACACACACACTCAGATAAAAATGTATCTTTTATATTTTAGCGCTTTTTTGTTTCTGTTTGGTCAAGTTTGAAGAAACGAAAATTGCAAGAGGACCATTAAAGAACTTGCCTTGGTGGATGATTTCGAAAAGTGCGGTCAGAGATTAGTAGGCTGTGATGATATTTTAATGACATAAGTGAGTATGATTTTATAGTATATGCTGTGGTTATGTATAGGATGCGACTGAACAAAAAATCCCCAAGATCATGAATTTTGCTAAAAGCTTTACTTCATTTTAATAAATCAGAATTTCATATGATTAATTTAAGTTTCTCTTGAAAAATATAGGAAATTTAATTCATTCAAGAGTTCAGGGTTCAAAATAATAAACATAAAAATCGTTTTTTTTTTAATTGAAGTTGCAGCAACTGGGGACTTTTTCGACAAGCAAATAGAACTTTGACTAAATGGCATTTACACTGTGTTTTATCTTTTGTGACTGAGGAACTGAAAATATTTGTCTATAATAAAATTTGTTTGCTTGCGTTGGTTTTCATTTGTTTTTATTTAAAGTATTTTATAGTTATTTGCCGCAAGATAATATTCTTCGAAGACTCTGCCCCGTTCAAGTCAATCTTATTTGCAAGCCCAATTGAATATTTTTATTTCACAATTACATATAAGCGAATAAAAACACCTTGATAAAGTAGCTCGTTGTTGACTACATCTTATGAAGCTGACAATGATGATGTTGATGATTTTATATTAACTGGGCCAATAACTAGCGGTTCATTTGGAGCGGCTTGAACGGTTCATAAGCGCCTTAAAGTAGCAAAAATAATATATATATATATATATATATATTATATATATATATATATATATATATATATATATATATATATATATATATATATATATATATACGTAGGTAGATTGGCATGTATTTGTATTATAAGAAAAGAAGTACAGTATGGTGCGCACATCACGTGACCTCTGAGTGTTGGCCCCACACTAATTCCATTCCATTCACATTCACATTCACTCAAGCAACTGCAGTTGAAGCTGTTGCTGCCGATGCTGTAGCTGCTGCTGTTGCTGATGCTACCCCGGGGCCAGGCAGTGCCACCTACTGCAGTCATAATACACACACGCCGCAAAATTTAATGCAGCCATATTAAAGTAAGCGCAAGACCCCCAGTTAATAAAAAAAATCAAAAACCGGCCAGGCGTCCAGCCCAGCCGATCAAGCGGGCGCTGGCAATGGGCTGCACATGGGCCAGGCATCGTTTGGGATGAACAGCGCTCATTTTGGTAGACGGGGGGCAATGGTGTGGGGTTGCCATGCCACAACTCGTGCCAGCATCTCAAACACACACACATACAGGGAGACAGAGACGGCGAGAGCGCTGGGCAGCGCTTGTCCAGTGGCAGCGCGCGCGTGTGCCAATGCAGTGTAACAACATCCCATATTAAAGATATTACAGAGTCAATAGCACACCATATAAGTGTGGCTCGGCGGTGCCTCACACTCGCTGGCTGTCTCTATCGCACGCTCTAACATTGTCTCGCTCTTGCCATAAACAAAGTAAATTGAGTTCGTTCGACAAAACGCCGCTGCGACTGCGTTCGCGCATGCGCATGCGCCGCGCCACAGGCCACCTCGCTGCCATGCCCCCTACTCCGCAGCCCCTACCCCTTTTCAATTCGGCAACGCTGTGGTCTTAACGATCGTGTGTCCACAGTCATTACAATGTTGGCCAATGCGACGACGCCGACTTTGCCGCACACTTACCGCACGCTGCTTTTCTCTTTCAAGTCGCAGCAGCAGCAGCGACGGCAGCGGCAGCTATTCACCTCCTCGCTCCTCAGTCGTGATCTTGCCCGTAAGTGGTCTTGTCTCTTGAATTCAAAAATACGTACAACAGGGACACACACACACACAATCACACACATACACACACATACAAATACATAGAAAAAAGGGCAGGTGTGTCGATCGTGTGAGAACCACGTTCCAAACCATTTTCTCACGATCTTCGCTTCTGATATTTTTTGTACTGCTCTCCCTTGTCCCTTACGGCTGGCTAGCCCCGCCAGCCCCGTCTGCTGTCTGTGTGTGCGTGTGCTGGGCCCTTCAAGTGATTCGTATGCAGTTTGTGTATTGTAGATTTTTAATGACTTGGGCTTGCGTTCGAGCATCGAGCGTCGAGCGTTGAGCTCGTTGCAGATCTTCTTTGAGCGTTTCGGAGTTTTGGGCTTCGGTTTCGGTTACGTCGCAACACATTCGTTCATCATTCATCGGGTTTACCTTTAAGATTAAGTATCTTTTGTAGCACGCATGCATTTCCTTTTGCCTTCGCCTTATGCCATATTCTGCTTATTGTCCATTGTCGGCTCTGGTTATGCATCTTGTTGCCGTTGTCTCGTCGTTGTTGTTGCCATGCCACAATTATGCTGCCTAGGGATGGGCGAGGATCAACATCGAGTTGCCATTTCTTACTGCTTTTTGCATTGATCATATGCAAATTTGTACGAGCCACTCGACTGCGTATTCAATTGAGTTGTACAATAGAATTGATTTTTCTCTTTTGTTTGAAGATTGATTTCATTTGATTTGATTTAGTCGAACATAATTTATGGAAATTGTGTAATAAAATACCTAAACTGTTATTCATATATTTTTATTACACTTTATTTATATTCTCTAAAATAAAAAAATATTATATAAAACAACAAAAAATATTATATATATTTTTTCTAGAATTTTAACTCTATTATTTGTTGTTTAGTTAATCTATAGCCCGCAGCACTTAGGCTGCACTTAAATTTATTTTTACTTCTCAAAGCAGCAATCTTAAATCTTGAGATTGTTTATGCTGATCAAGGTCACATTTTGCATCCCTAGAGGTGCCCTCATAATTTTCATGCTGTCTGGGCTATTTTATGTGGCTGTCTTTAACTTCATTGATTGTTAACAGCTCAGGCGTCGTAGCTACTGGTCTTGTTGGAGCAGCTACAGCAACAGCAACATCAACAGCGACAGCAGTAAAAGATAACCAAATGATGCGGGCCGACCAAAAAGTGATATCCTGTCGAGGCCCTAGGGAATGGTAATCATTTACCTTTACCTGAATGTCAGACAGACAGCCCGAGCAATTATGTGTCTTGCCTTGACCATTGTGCACACGATTTTCTAGCCGAGTGGCTGTGTCTAAAAAAAGGATGTTTAATGGTTGGAGGCTGGACTGGAGGGTTGCACGTCGATGACTCGATCCTTTTCTGCTATTGTTCGGCCCCGACTCTGCTTTACAAAGATCTCGTTCTGTGCCTAAGACTGAGCGACATTGTCGTAACTCGATTAGACACGCCAAGAGATAAGTCTCTAATTTTTTATGTTGCCCGGTCTTATTGTGTGCACACGTGTTCAAGGGTGCCTTGGGCCCTGGACGCGTCGGTAGCCTCGTAACGGACATTGATTTTATTTCTCTTCTATTTTCTTTTCACCATTTTTATTTTTGGTTTTCTTCTCGGCCTTGGCATTGTTTTCGCTTTCCATTGTTATGAGATTTTTGGTAACAATAAGAAAAATAGGCAAAATTACAACGAATTGACTCAGTTGGACTCGGGAATATGTAGCAGCAGTTAAGGCTATGGCCAGAGCATTTCCGCTCGATGAACTTTCCTGTATGATAACATACATATTCCTCGAAACTGTTTGACCAATTGGATAGGCAAACGCTGGTTGATAAGCAGCTTTTCCCTTTAATTTCAGGGGTGCAAGTGATGACTCAATAAAAACATTTTTGCATTTTTCAATTTTTAGCTATATAATTTATTATTAAACTTAGTTATCACATGAACTCCGCCTCGATTAAAGCTTTCTTTTTCTGTTCTTTCTTAACTTAAAACTAATTGGTAGTCAATGGACCGTGGTTAACCCATTGACTTGGAAGACTTTTGCTATTCTTAACGCTCATTCTCTATCACTCTCTCTCTCTCTCTCTCTCTCTCTCTCGCTTTCAGATTTCTTGTATGGCTCGGCTCTACCATGGGCGCCACACATTCTCCTCATCCTCGCTGTCTGGCACCTCCTCCATTTTGGTTACGTTGATGCTGAGATTGCTAGAGCAGGTGGTCAACAAGGAGGCGCTGCCCGTTTGTTCACTGGCCACACTTGAGTTGGGGCTGCCGGCATAGCTGGAGACGGGCGAAATGGGCACCGAGTAGGCATCTCGGCTGGCAATGTGTACGGAGAGCGGAGCTGTCACTGGCAGCACCTCTTTCACAGCGGGCTGCAATTGATTGAGTCGCTGTCCCAAATGTGTCATCAGCTCTGTGCCCAGACTAACATTCATGCCGGGCAGCTGGGACAGTGAGCGGGAGACCTCGTTGACGGCGTGTATGTAGCCAGAGCGGAAGCCCTCGGCAGGGGTAAGTGTCTCGGCGCCACCATTGGCGCGCTTCTGCTGGCGCTGTTGCTTCATCTTCTGCAGATGGGTGACGGTCAGCTCGAGTATGTCCGCCTTCTCCAAGCGTGTGACATGCTCTCCCTCCGACTCCAGTGTGGCGACCATCAAGTCCTTAAGCTCATCCAGGCACTTGTTGATGCGAGCCCGCCGCTTGCGCTCCAACAGCGGCTTCATCACCTTTCGGTATTGATACGTCTTGGACATTTCCGATACTTGCATCGAAGACATTTTGTGAGATATTTAATATTTGGTATTTAGTTGCTTTGCTGAGCTGTTGCTGCTCTGAGTGTGCAAGACGTTGTGTACTGCTGCCTCGCTGGCCGCTGCCTTTTATAGCCAAGCAGCCAAAAACAACCCCCATGATCCCTCGGCATTCGGCTTTGGGCTCGTCTGTGCTGGCATTTCGTGTGCAGCGTGTGCTGGCATGAGGGTTGCGACGACGACGACGACGATGACGACGTCGTCGACCCTTCCGCTGCTGTCTTATTGTTCGTTCGCTTTCTTATTGTGGCACCCTTATCATGAGCGGGCACCAGGGAGCAGGATCGCTGCCTTTGCAGGATCATTGCCTTTGTATGCGTTTGCGTGTGTGTGTTTGCTTGGCAGTATCGTGGGAAACACTTTCCTCCTTGGTTTCTCACACCAATATTCTGAGCAGGCTCACCTGCTCAATGGGCAACGAAGCGCAGCCAGAACCATGCTCCGCCTAGCCTTTCCATGGGAATTTTTGCAGTTTGTGTGTTTGCGAGCGTTTGTGGCGCAGCTGCCATTTCTAGATTTGTGTTATGATTTGCCTAAGAGAATATGGGCGAGCGAAAGGATAATGAACTGCACGCTTCATGCCATCTCATTTGTGCCAACAACAGAGGCTGCTTGGCCGTTGGCGTGGGAATGCTAGGAGCAGCAACATTTTGCTGGGGCGTTTCACTTAGGCGGAGCTGCAAAGAGAAGCACTTCCTGTTTGTGCATTGGTATTCCATTTCGGCCTTTCGTCCTACACTTGTTGGCCGGCTTTGTGCCAGTTGATGATCCTGTGGGAACATTGCTCGTGTGCGACGAGTGTGCTTAATGTGCGTTCCCGTTGCTCTAACGTCTCTGCTCTGCCCCCGGCCCACGGACACCTTTTGTAACTGAGAGTCGCGGTCGGGCAGGGGCCAAGCGATGCTGCTCGATGCGTGCAGCTCGACTCTTGCTGCTCGTTGCTCGCATGTGGCGCACGGTAGACACACTTTCGTCTTTTGACTGTAAGTCGTGCGCGTTCCAGTCTCTTGTAATTGCAGTGTGGAGATTGGGTAACATTTACATGTGAGCGTGGACTGGCCTGTATTGAGATGTTGGGCGAACTCACGAATTACTTGTGTGAGTGATTAAAGAAAGGTTGTTTTAGCTTGAACAAAAATAAGCTTGTTACAAAAATAAGAACAATAAAAATAGGAAGACAAATATATATTTATATAATTGAATAAAATAATAATTTAAGTATATATATATATATATATATATAAAATATATTAATTTAATTTACTAAGATATATGCAAAAAATATATTTAGTAATTTTTATGACAAGTTCTAGACACTATCATAATCTGAGTAATTTTTTATTACTTTAAGAATTCAAATAATATTCTAATAAGCTCAAAATTGTATGTACTTAAGTTTTGTATACAGATAACAGTGCTTATCAATTTGATAGAATATTATCTGCATTTCGATTTGATTATAAAAAATATTTAGAAATTAAAAAAAAAAGCAATTACACGGATTGACTAATAGGATAATTGTCAAGGATTTTTCTACAGACTTTTTCTTAAGCAGAATACTTTTAAGGAATACCCATTGCCAACAATATCTCAAGCATTAATCTTATATCCACATATATCAAAGCATATTTGATGGAGATGATATATTAGCTAGCTATTAAAAAATCTATTAAAAATATTGATAATTAAAATCGGTTTGTTAAACACATTTTCAATGGGATGAACGCCCAATAAACTATATGAAAGAATTATAAGCATGCGCAAATCGAGGCACACAAGATTCATGAAATGGAATTGGATCAATGTTTAAGTCGACACACAGATAAAAATTAGCAGATCAGACAATGTTTAACATGTTTGCACAACTTCCACTTTAAAGTTCTTTCCATCAAAATATTGTGAAAACTATCAAAAAATATTGAATAAATATTCGATTATACGTATGTCATATAAATTTATTTAAAGCATGTTAATAATGTTAATGTATAAGATCAGTTATCTTAAGCTTAAGCATTGTACAGATTAAACTAAAATGGAAGCCCAGTATGGGAAGCTCGGCGTGAATTGAAATCAAAATAAATTATGTTAACATACACAGGTATTATTTTCTACTGGAGATCAAATACAAAAAACGCACTTAAAAACTATCACAGGAACATCACATCATATCGTACGTATCTAAACTTGGGCAAATGTTTACAATAAGCCTTGGAAAACTCAGTTAAAACTTACAAACTAAAACCAGACAAATAAAGCTCTCAATGTGCATGTGTAATAAAGCTTAAGGATTGGCTTAAACGGATGCTTCACCAGGGTCGCCAGACATCCTCGCCCTTGTCTAGATTCTCTTGAGGTGATAGGGAGAGTTGTTCGTTGCCGTTGGCCAGATTTACTGGTTCGATGGCATGTTCGCTGGGCACTGGGCTGCTCAGCTGTTGCTTCATATCCTTGAGTTGGTGGCCCAGTTGCTTCATCAGATGCGTGCCGAATTTGAGATCCACGCCGGGCACCGTGGAGAATATGTGGGAAACCTCGTACGCGGCCTGTGTGTATCCTGCGCGAAACTTGTCAAAGTTCAGCTGGGTTGGAGGTGGTGAAGTGGGCGTGGAAATGGCGGCAGGTGTGCCGGCGGCTAGGCGCTGCTGCTGCTGTGTCTTAAGGTAGTTAACTGTCAGCTCCAGTATGTCGGCCTTCTCCAGCTTGCTGACCTGCTCCCCCTGCGCGTCCATTGTATCCACAATAAGATCTTTGAGCTCATCCAAGTAGAGATTCATGCGGGCACGTCGCTTGCGCTCCAGCAGCGGCTTGGTGACCTTGCGATAGTGCTGTGTCTTGGTCATAAATCTTTGACCCTCCACGGCCATTGTGCAAATTGGATTGGGTGTGTGTTTTGGCTGAAATGTGGCAAGTAGCTGGTTGAACTTGGCCTGGCGAACGTTGAATTTTGAAGGCTGCTGCGAAACGGACACTTGCTGCTGTTCACCGAACGGTAGTCGCTTGAGAAATGATCTTGCCGCAAGGTAAACTGATCCTTTTTGTAGCTGCAGCAGCGTCGGCGTTGGCGTCGGCGACGGCGGTGCGTACACTTGCAAAATCCTCCCCTAACTGCTACCACGCAACGCTTAAAAATGAACAGAGCGAAGCGCAGCGGATGAGATCGGGAATGATGGCCCAAGACGAGCATCAATCGTGTCGCTGTGCGTGCGTCTGTGTGTGGCACCGACTCTCTGCTTGTGGCAACATTCAGTCGACGCTGCACGTGTGCAACATTTCAAGCAAACCAGTTTTGTCATTCTGAACTATAAGATACCCTGTGCAGTTAAGATACTCACAATTTCCATTAGGAAACAATCAATAATATTACATTTAATGTCCTAATTGAATCATATAAAATTTCTGTTACCAAATTGTTTAATATAAATATAGTATTTTCTATAGCGAAACTTATAAAAATAAAGTGTATTACATTATTGCAAAACTACCTCTTCACCCTTTTGTTTAGAGAGTATACGCATTTTAAACCAACGAATGTCATTTATGTACACTGAAAGAAATTGGGTAAGGACAAATTTTCAAAGTATCGAAATGGCAATTTATAGAAATTTTGTACCGCTGTATAAATTAAATTTTTATTAAAAATTGAATATATTTAAAAAGAAATTTATAAATATTTTAACTTGATATATTTAATAAATTTTCCAAATATTAAAAAGAACTAAAGAGTAAGTTATAAAACATTAGAAAAACAAGAAGAATATTTAATCAGAGAAATATAAATTTTATTCAAAATTTTTCTCAGTGTAAATTCTCCTGACTGATGCCAATAACGCGTACTCTGAGCTGAGCTGAGCCTGAACCAGATCGCTCTCTTTGTCTCTCGTGCCATTGCCGTGCGCCTGCGCAACAGGAACAGAGCATGAGCCAGAGACAAAGGCCGAAGCAGAGCAACCACCACCACCACCGTCATCATCAGCAGCAGCAGTAGCAGCAGCAGCAAATAGCACCACACGCACACACGAGCTGGCTGCGTGCAACGCTTAACTCAAGAACGACTGCGACTGCGACTACGACAGCGACATGACCTCGACCTGGCTGTAGCTGTGGCTGTGCCTCGCACACTCTCTGGCAACCGTGCCCCATGCGTGCCATGCCCGTTCCCTTTTGCTACCCTCACACTTGGGCAATCTCAATGATGGCGGCTTTGTTGGTTTTTCTCTGTGCTTGTGTTTTTGTGCTCTTCCCTTTGGCGCGCTGTCACAGGCAGCAGGGCAGCAGCAGATCGAGACCCAGACCTCATTTCCTCTTTGGCGCGACATTGCGTTACACTTACGGACAGGGACGGGTCGCGCTTGCTCGAGCAACCACCGCAGCGACTACCACCCGTACCAGTGCCAGCCACTTGCCAGCCGGTGTGCCGTTGGCGTCGCATCGTGAGAAAGTTTACTTCAAGCATTCCCACAAGTATTGGGATATGGTATATGCGAGATTTGGCCCGGTCAGCTGTGGCACTTGCTCCGTTTTTGGCGCGTTTGCAACTGCGATTGGCCCATTGACAAAATTCACCTGCTCGGCCTACGCGCTGAGGGTGAGTGTACGGCGTGCTTGTGTGTGCGTGTGTCTGTTTTGGCCTCCTTAGAGGGCCTTGTAATCGCATGCATGAAATCGAGAAGTTAACAAACACAGCAACAACAAGAGAATTTTACGATGAGGCACTGATTCCGATTGCGTCGTGGGGGAGGTTTTTGGTCTTGCTCGGGCTGTCTGGCAAGTGCATATGGTATTTACTCCGGGGTTGATCTGATGGAATGGCAAGGAGACTAAATATTTGCATATAAAAGAGAAGAGATCGCGAATGCTGCTATTAAGATGTAAGAGTAGATTAAAGAGGGATTTTCTTATTCTAAATTAAGGCCATCTGCAAAAATAATGCTGAAAATGCTGGAGACAACATGTATTTTCGCATTGACAAGATAACGACTGTTTACGGTTCCAGATTAGAGGTTCACTTACTTGTAGTATGTAGAGCCAGCCATAAATTAGATGAGAAGCTATTTAAAATGTTTATATTTTCAAATTTAGTTATTAATTAATTAAACACTTGTCTTATTTTTTTTAACATTTTATTGAGAGTAAATTAATTTATTCAATATATATATACTTGAAACATAAACATTTAATAAATATCTTTAGTTGGATGCATGAATACGCGAATTTCTTCGTTCGCTCAATAGTTTCATAAATTTCAATACATAATTTTAAATTTCAAATACACATATAGCAACACATACATACATATATATTTATATAGCACAAATACAGTATACTTATATGAGAAAGTAACGTTAGTCGGAGTTAGTTTGTTATACATAATTCCCGTTCAAGTTATGTTTGATTCAAAATGAATTAGTTGCAATTGTTGTTAATAATTAAAAAAACGTTTTGTGCTAGTTCGTCTTACAAGAAAAGGAAGAAAATGGACTAAATTGTTAAGTGAAATTTTTCAATTAGAGGTACATATGTATATATTCGCGTATAACCATTTCGATTTGCGAGCTGCCAAATGTTTTTTGTTTGCTTTAACTTAATTTGCATTCAAATCGCATTGGGACTTTTTGCTTAACTTTTAGAGAATGTTTCACAATTTTTGGTGTTTTACAATTTTTATAAAAAAAATTAAATATGACTGTGAAATAAATTAAGTATAAATTGTAATGGATATGAGCCTAATTTAAATTAAATTAAAAAAATTCGAATAAATGCCATAAATTACAAATTTGTATTTGTTCGTAGCGGGAGATTCAAATAGAATACAAAAGAATAAAAAGGGCAGCGGAAACTCGCATGCCAATTTCTTAAAGCTTCGTGTTGTTGTAGTTATCCTTTTGATTGATGAACTCTGGTACAATGGTGCCGTTACGCCTTGGCCATGGACTTCTCAGGAACTGGTGAGTAGGTTAAAGTACGTGCTTATTTATAAACTACATACATAAATATTTTAAAAAACTACATTGATTTGATATTTAAAAATTTCTTGACCTTTCGTATTTGTTTGCTAATCTGTGTCAAAATAGATATTTATGTATATATATATATATATATATATATATATATATATTATATGATTAATCTCTAACTGGATTACTTATTCGTGGGGTTTCTTGCGTTTCTGTCAGTTGTTTTTCCTTCCTTTATATACATTCATTTACAGTGAGTTATCATAAATCCGCTTTTGCTACTCAATTTTTCGCACATACGATCTTCACCAATATTCAATTCGCTTTAAACGCGTTTGTACATTTTCATGTTTAATTTTGTTTGTTGTTTTGTTATTTAGTTCAGAAACATTTTTTAAATAGATTCAAAAAACGCATAACTTTTGCGATTAGTGTGGTACGTCTAGTGCGTGGGTTTGTTGTTGTTATTCATGCAGCTGAAAATAAGATAGAAGAGGCATAAAACATATACATAAATTAAGTAAAAACCAAGAAAATAAATAAGAGTTAAATTAATATCTGGGAGGAATATTAATATTTGAAATTGAATTAGAGCCATCTAAACGATGCTGTGGAAACGATTACCACGCAACAAATTAGTATAAAATATCGTTTATAAAAATATTATCTAGTTACTTAGCTTCGTATATTGTTGAACTAATCAAAAATATGCTATGCAATATATATAAAATGTATAAAATATCGCTGTAGTTCGGTTTCATTTTAGTCTAGATTAAAGCTATTGTTAAAACAGAAATTATTAATCTTTGCAACTGAAATTTTGTACATATGTCTTATACGTAGTTGTGCAAATGAATAAGCATGTTCTTAACTGTGGTTGGTGCAACATATTTGCAAGTCACATGCGGTTATATTATAATTGCATAAGCGTTAGGTACGTTGAATATTTTGTATATTATTTATATATTTATGATCTGTAATAATGTAATATTCCAAATTCCATTAGCTAAATTGAATAATAAAATATAGGCCCAAGTTACTAAGCTGGCGATTTTATTAGCTCCGTTGATTAGCAGAGTAAATCAAGTAGTTGTTAGTAACATGGGCCGATTTCTGTTTATCAAATATATATTTGTATATAGTTTTTATATTATATATATGAATGAAAGCAACAAACGTTTACGACAACTTTAATACGCTGGACAATTTGAAATCGCATATATTATGTAATCGAAAAACGTTTTGTAAATGCTTCAAGGTACTGATGAATGTCGTAAATCCAATTCTCAAATATTCAAATATATAATTTGGTAATACAATAAAGTGCATTTGTGTGTTTTCTGTTTTCGTTTTGCTTTTCCTCTTGTTTCTTTTCTTTTCTTTTTTGAGTTGATTGGATTGATAACAATTTGCATACAGAAACACTTATTTGACTTTTTCAATTGTTGGTAGGATTCAATTTTGATTCGCTTTGGTACTTGTACACCAAGCACATGTATAGTATAGTATATATAGTGTAAACGTGCTGTGTTGGCTGTTAACGATAATGAGTTTCTTTAGGTGTGTGTATATAATTTGCAAAGCTTGCTGATTTTTTGTTATAGTTTTTTTTGTAATTTGTCAATTTGTTTTTGTTTGTTTTTTTTTTTTTTTTTTTCAAATTAGTTGCTGTTTAATGTGATGGACTTTCATTCAATCGATGTTTGGCGCGTGATTTGCTGTGTGAGGCGCGTCGCAGCGAGGTGACGCTGCCAGAGCAGGTATCGTAAAAGTCTAATGATTCCGATGAGAATGCTATATAACATAATGTTGTGTTTGCATAAAGAAAGAGTAAATAGAGAATATATAATGTGTTATCATAATTTAAATATACCGTATATGTGGCTAGTATAATAGGCTAGACTAAAAGC